TGCTGCTCTGATGGGTCTGGTGGGAAGGGAAGGTCCCAGGCAGGAGACGGCGCCCGCCCTGGACGCTCAGGTGCAGCTGGAGGGGCCTCCGTGAGCCCCACCCTCACCCGCAGGCAGGAGTCGGAGCCCAGCAGCCACAGGCACTAGGCACACAGGCAGGCACATGCACACGTGTGTGCGCACACATGCACGCACGTGTGTACACGCATGTACACGCATACACTGGCACGCACGTGCACAGGCACACAGGTGTCACCTCGCACCAGGCCAGCCCTGAGTGCCTGAGCCTGGGCACACACTCTCTGGCCCACGGTCTCACTGCTCCCCCCTCGACACCCTGCTCAGGCTCAGGCTCCAGCCCCGCCTGCTGGGAAGCCCGTCTCCCACCCAGCACCCCCACCCCCACCCCAGCCGGCCGAGCCCTCTCCCAGGGTCTTGTGGCCTTTGTCCCCCAGCAGGCCCGGGGCCCCGGGGCAGGCCTGCTCACTGGACACCAAGTGCCTGGGAAGCATGTGACCCCTGGGCGAGCCGCGGACGCTGTGAGGAGCGCACTGGGCCAGCCAGGCGGCCAAACAGGAAGTGGGGTCACTTTGTTCAAGCATGTGTGCGCATGCCCATATATGCATGTGTACACACGTGCCTGTGTGCATGTGTGCGTGCATGTTCGCCTAGGGGACACATGCATGTGTGCAGTCGTGCGTGCACAAACCCATGTGTCCAACCAAGCACATGTATGGAGTGTGCTTGGCCTCCGGGGGCAAGAGCTGGTGGGAAACCGTGTGGGGCACAAGCTCTGCAGGACGAGCCCCTGTGCCCAGCGGGAGGTGGGGGTGGGGTGGCGTGCCCATAACTGAGGTCCGAGGATGGTGGGGGACCCCAAACCCCTGCCCGGAGACTCCCACGCCCACGCCGCCTTCTGGAAGCTGCCCTGCGGTGCACTCTGGCCGGTGGGGGTGGGGGGTCTCTCTCTCTCTCTCTCACACACACACACACACACACACACACACCCCTCCGGACCAGGACTCGGAGCCGTGCGGGGCCTGGGCCTGCGGCTGGGCTGCTGGATGCTCGCCTTCCCACTGCCCTCGGCCTGTGGCCTGTGGACACTCCCCAGGGCCTGGGACGGAGCCCAGCAGGCAGAGTGCAGCCTCCAGCGTGAGCACAAACACTGGGACGTCCCTGTCTGCACACTCGGGTGACCCCAGGCCCCGCCGGCAGGGCCCCGGTGCACATTTCAGGCCCCGCGGTGCAGGCGTTGAAAAGGCAGTGGCCGGGCCTGGCTAGTTTTCCAGGGACTCTGGGCACACCCCGGCGGTGAGGGGTCCCCGGGGCAGCCCCTGCTGTTCCTCTGGGCCCCCAGCTGCGCCCACGGCTGGACAGGTGAGCCCTCTCAGCTGCAAGGTGACGGCCCACAACCCACAAGCAGAGCCGGGACAGGCCCCACTCAGCCCCTGCCCGGGAGGGGGCGTCGGAGTGGGCGCTGAAGCTGCAGAAGAGCCCTGGGCCTCGGTTTCCTCTGTGGAGTAGAGGGCATGGTCCCGCCACGCGGCAAGGCCCCGGGGGGAGGCCCAGCGTCGGCACAGAGGGCTGCTCGGGAAGCGCCACCCGCCAGGACCCGGGCACGGCGCCCCTGGCCCCTCCGCCTCCCGCTCCCAGGGACCCCACAGCTCCCCCGGCCACGGCCGGGCCCTAGGGGGCCTCAGGTCTCCTGGGGAACTTTTCTGACAGATTCTTAACCGTCAGCAAAACAAGATGAAAATCCAGTCGCTTTTGGCGAGGCGCCCATGGGCCAGCACAGGGGCCAAGACTAACGGAGGGAGGTGTCCCGGCCACCTGCAGCCAGGATCCCTGTGTGGCCCGTCTGAGCACAGCCCGTGGTCCGGCCTGACCCTGAGCCGGCTGGCGGGGCGGGAGGGGGGCCAGGGAGCAGCTGGGACAGAGCGAGCCTCGCTCACACATGCCGGCCAGGAGGCCAGGACGTGTCCGCCCTGAACGCTGTGCTGTCCCCTGGAGCAGAGGAGCAGCAGCTGCGCGAGTAGCGCCACACACTGGGCGAGTCCCGGAGGCTGCTGGCTGAGCCAGGAGGCAGACATGCCCGCTGGCTGGGTGCCAGGCCTCTGGGCCAGGTGGGTCTCGCCCCTAGCCCTGCCCACCCCCAGGCCCGCCCACCCCCAGGCCTGGCCCCCAGGCCCGCCCACGCCCAGGCCTGACCGCTCACCCCCAGGCCCGCCCACGCCCAGGCCTGCCCGCCCACCCCCAGGCCTGCCCCCCTAGGCCCGCCCGCCCACCCCCAGGCCTGCCCCATCCCAACAGCGGAGGGGGAGTCCCAGGGTGGGTAGAGCTGGGTCAGGGTGCATCTGGCTGCCAGGAGGCCCGGGCCTCACCCTCCCCGGCCCAAGGGCCTGGGGGCTCACGTCACCTGATCAGATCGGGCCCTGGGTCCACAGGCAGCAGCCACCTCCCAGCCTTGACCCTGGTGCCTAAGCGAGGGGAGAGCAGGTGGTCTTGGTCACAGGTGCCCATCCAGGACACCGGGCATCCAGCTGGAGATCCTGCTCAGCTCCCCCGTAAACAGGTGACCCCGAGACTCCTGGGTTGGCCGAAATGCTTCGAAGGTCCCCAGGAGTGTCGCTGGAGGTCTGACCGGGCCTTTGGTGTGGAGGACAACTGAGGGGTCCCTCTGGGGTCCAGCTCTCAGACGGGCTGCGCCATGTCCAGAAGATGATGCCATGCTGGGCACCCGTCCCCCTGCCCTCTGCCCACCTGTCGTCTGCGTGGGCACCACCTCCTCCAGCCTCCGCACCCCTGTGCTGCAGTGTCGTCCTCACCTGGGACACGGAGGCAGGGCCGTGACTGGCACATGCTCCATGGTGCCCAGCGCACATGGGCTCTGATGGTGCCCTGAGGGCATGCAGGGAGGAGGTGCCAGCCCCTTCGTCTCTAGGCCCCTTAATCCCGTGAGTCGCCGGGGAGCTGCTCCTGCCTCGACCCTGCGCCCTTCGCGGGGCTCTCACCCCCTCGTGGCAGGAGGGCTGCCGCCTCCCGGGCCACACAACTGCATTCCAGGCAGGAAGCGTGGGGAACGGCCCTCCCTGGACACCAGGCCAGAGCCGGCTCGGGCCCCCGGCGACAGGGTGGCTCAGGTCTGTGTCCAGTTAGGCACATCGCCACCCCAGATGGAAGTGGGGCCCTTTTAGGAAAAGCAGCAGAAAGGAACGGGTTTAGCAGTGTCGCCCACCACCCCAGGACGGCTGGGGGGAGCCAGCCGCTTCACTCCCACAGGAAGGCCCGCCCCAGAGGGGAAGCGCCGGCCCCTCCAGGCCTCGCAAACTCCCACCCGCCGTGACCAGGCAGGCTGGCAGGAAGGGCCCCAGCCCCAACCATCCAGGTCTCCTCCAGGGGCCCTGGCCCTCCATCTGTGGGAAGGAGGAGGTGAGGGGCAGGGCTGCCTCTGGGCAGGCCCCCACTGCGCCCCTCCTGCTGTCCTCCCATCCCTGTCACCCTTGGTGACATCCCACCAACAACAGCACATCCTTCCCTAACCTCCAGCCTCTGACTGCCCAGCACCCCTGGGAGGGGGAGAGGGGGCAGGACCAGCACCCCGGCTGGAAGCGCCCCTAGGGTGGGGGGGGCCTGTAGCCTGTGACTTGGAGGGACACAGCCAAGGACCTTGCTCTGGGAGGCTGGCGGGGGGTGGGGGGTGGCAGTGTGGGAGGGAGGGGCAGTGTGGAGAGGGAAGTGGGCCTTGGGACCCCCACAGGCCCCAGCCCAGCTGCCTGGGAAATCTAACCTCTGAGCCCTGGGCCTGAGCTTGGAGCTGGGCCTGCCGGGCAGGGAGGGTGCTCCTGAGAGAGGAAGTGGGGGGCGGGGGGGTCTCAGAGGACGGGATTCAGGCCTCCCCTCCCCGCAGCCGGCGGAGGGTCAGCTGAGGAGCAGGTCCCTTCGTGCTGGCAACAGGTCAGCCGCCAGACCTCGCTCTCAGTGCCCCCACCTGAAATGCCCACCCCCACTTCTCCAAGAGGCCCCCTAAACCTCCAGGGCCCACCGCCCCCCTCCCCCCAAAGCCTCTGAGGCTCCTGCATCCCACCTGCCTTTTCCTGGGCAGCCGGGGTTCAGGCCCTGGACCAGTCCATGCCGGTAGAGGGAGCCTGCAGCTCCAGCAGCCCAGCCTGGACACAGGTGTGCCCCGACTGCAGGGGGCCGGAGAAGCAGGGAGGGGCCCACCCCTGGGGCCCTGGGAGGGCAGGGTGTGGGTGGGGGACACCCCAGAGGGACAGTGGGCAGGAGGAGGAGAGCCGAAAGCGGCTGGAGCTCCCAGGGCTCCCTGTCCGCCTCCCCTCCCCCCCCCTTCCCTGCAGGTCTGGCACCCGGTGGGGGGGCGGGGGGCAGGTGTCGTGGTATTTGTTCAATGAGAGACAGTGGAGTCTGGAGCCTGGGTCCCAACCTGAAGGTCTCCATGCCCCTCCCCCCGCCAGAAACGTGCTCGTCCTCTGTCAAGGTCCCAGAGGGGCTCTGCGGGCAGGACGGCACCGATGACCTCGCAGCGACCACCCCCTGGACAAGCCCCCTCCCTCCTTCCTGGGGCCTATTACGTAAGGCGATTACACACACAAAGAGGGAAGGAAAGAAAACAGACAGCGAAAGGTAAAGGTTCTCTCTGGGAAATGGGCTTCGCGCTTCTCCACAATCTCAGAATTTTCCAGGTTAAATAATGAAACACCATCCCCTCCTCCGTCTAGAGATGGGAACCCCAAGGGGAATGAATCTCACAGCAGGTTGCAATTCTTATTTCAGCCACCAGGTGGCGACCAAGACCAGGGCATCCCCGCTTTGGGGGGGGGGGCGGTGCAGAGCGGGGTGGGGGGGGGGGGCGGTGCTTCTTCCTCCAAGGGTTTGCGGGGTCCCAGAAGGAGGGAGAGAGGGGGCACACAGGGAGCGACAGCTTCAGCTGCGGCTGCGGCCACGGCCGCGTGGGTGTCAATGTAAGAAACATTCCCACCTGCAAAGAATGTTTGTGTTTATTTGAGCCAAACGGTCGACAGTTGCCGGGAAGCAACATCTGAGCGGACGGGGGCGATGCTCCGAGAAAGGCGGGTGTTGAGTCTCATTCCACACATGGCAGTCCGAAGGGCAGGCACAGGTGGCCGCGTGGCTCCCCTGGCGACGGGCAGGGCGGGAGACGCCAAGCGGGCACCTCTGGGGCGACGGACACGTGCTTCTTTACACGGGAGGGGGGTGCACTGGTGAACTCAGTAAGGAGGAGCTCGGTGGTCCCCGCAGAGGGGTGCCTGTGCTCCGAGGGGGCCGGGGAAAGGGAAACGACTCTGACATCCCAAAGAGATGCTGTCGCCGATGCACCGGACAACAGACGGCTCCGTTGGGGCGCAGGTGGCTTTGTCGGGGGGGTGCCGCCCCGGGCATGACTGCCGCCTCGAGCTGCCGGGAGTCAGGAGTTTGGTTTAGACCCTCCTGTGCGGTACTTGCGGTCTCTGTGTCCGAACGGCCGCCGCACAGGCCTCCCCTGAGCTGGTCAGCGGAGCATGTCGCCCCTCTCGTCCACGCTGAGCTGAACTCACTTCCCAGCCCTTTAACTCGGTTCACAAACGCCGGGGGTCGCCTGGCTTTTCTAGCAACGCCCCATGAGACGCGAGGCCCCGCAGCCCAGCCACCTTCTCCGGCGTAGCAGCGGCCGCTCATGGGTCCCTGCCCTCCGGTGGGCGGCTTGCCCCCCCCCCCGCCCCCCACCCCCGCCCCGCCCGGGAGTCCTGCTGGGGCTGCTGTGAGCGGCTGCCCACTGGGTTTGGCCCAGAGTGTGGCTGGGAGGCCAGCCCCGCCCTTCCACCTGCACCCCCTACCTCCGTGCCCTGGCTCTGCTCCCACTGTGCCATTCTGTGCCAGGCCCATCCCAGGGAAGCCCCTCACCCCCTTCCCGGGGGCCCACCTTAGCTGGACGTGTGGAGGAGCCTCTCCCACACCAGCCAGGCCGAGAGCAGGACAAAGAGCAGAAGCAGCACCAGGGCCAGGCTCACAGACGGCACCAGGTCCGAGGCCTCGGGGCCGGGGGCGGCAGCACCTGGGGCCTGGCGGGGGGCGGCGGGGGCTCCGAGCAGCTGGGCGATGGAGACCTTCTCCCCCAGGGGCCCCGGCCCGCCCATCTGTGGGAAGGAGGGGGTGAGGGTCAGGGGTGCCTCTGGGCGCCCCACCGCCCACCCCCTGCTGTCCTCCCATCCCGCGAGAGCAAGGGGCCACGTGGGAGCGACTCCCTGAGCCTTGATGTTCGCCTCTAACATGGGCTGATGGAGCCCAGAGGGAGGGGAAGGCCGGTCCCTGGCATTCCCTCCCACACCTTACCTCTTATCCAGTGCCAGGAGGCCTGGAATGCAGCTCTGCCAGTTCCCAGCCTGAGGACTAGTCTGGAGACACAGAGATCTCTGCAGGAGGAGCTGGGTCAAGGGTAGGCACCGGGTTCTAGAATCTTCCAGGTGAGGAAAGTGAGGCTCTGAGAACGGCTCGCTGGTCAGCGCCCTCCTCAGGCTCCTGTGTCCAGAGGCAGAGCTTGGACCAGGGCATCCTTTAAGCCCGTGGTCGGCAAACTGCGGCTCGAGAGCCACATGCGGCTCTTTGGCCCCTTGAGTGTGGCTCTTCCTAAGCCTTAGGAGTACCCTAATTAAGTTAATAACAATGTACCTACCTATATAGTTTAATTTTTAAAAAATTGGCTCTCAAAAGAAATCTCAATCGTCGTCCTGTTGATATTTGGCTCTGTGGGCTGATGAGTGTGCCGCCCGCGGCTTTAAGCTCCGTGCCCTGGGCCGGCAGGGGCGCAGGGACAGGGAGAATCTGGGAGCAGGGTGGCCCCTGCGTGGCCCCGACCAGCCCCTCCCCAAGCCTGCACGGGTCTACAGGGTGCTCACCTCCCAGCCATGGGCTCCCCGTCCTGGGAGGGGCCTGTTCCAGCTGCCACTGTCCCCAGGACAGACAGCCCGAATGAGTCAGTTAGGGCACTTTCTGTGAAGGAGGGAGGGGCTGTGGCTGGGGGTGTGGAAGTGAGGGGCCCGGCCCTTTCACGGGTGTGTCCAGGGCAGAAAGGGAGCCAGTGGCCCCATCCCGGCCAGCTCTGTGTGGGAGGCTAAAGAAATGGGGAGGGCCCTGATTTCAAATTGGCAAGGAGCTTCCAGATCACCAGGTACAGGGGAGGGGAGGGGAGGAGCCTTATACCCACCCCCGAAGCCAGGTGAGGTGGTCAGGCAAGGACGGCCCAGCCGCGGGCGGGCTAAGAGGCCCGAGGGCCATGGAGGTGGTCACTGCTGTGGGCAACTGCCCCCCAAGGACAGAGATGCGCTTCAATGGCTGGTTTTCAGCGTGAACGTGGGAGAAACAGCCCTGATGCCACGACGGAAGATTTGTGAGCAAATCCAGGTTCATCCACTGAACCTTCCAGAGCCAGGAGCACGGGCGATGGACGTGGAGGGTCAGGCCAGCTTCCAGCCAAACCTGGGGATGAGCCAGCGGCCCACCAGGGGAGGTGGACACTGGGGCACGCCTCCACGCGGCAGAGCGGGGACCACCATGCAGACAGCACGGTGACGCGTGGCCGCCGGAGTGGGAGACTGGAGACGGAGGGCAAAAGGGCCCCTGCCCCGCGGCTCCCTCTCCCGGGAAATCTAGGAAGGAGAGCGCCAACCCGCAGCCAGAAAGAAGAGCAGCAGCGTTTCGGGGGGGGGGGGGGTAGCTGGAAGGGCACAGAGGAACCTTCTAGGCCAGTGATGGCAAACCTATGACACGCGTGTCAGAGGTGACACGCGGACTCATTTTTTTGGTTGATTTTTGTTAAATGGCATTTAAATATATAAAATAAATATCAAAAATGTAAGTCTTTGTTTTACTATGGTTGCAAATATCAAAAAATTTCTATATGTGACACGGCCCCAGAGTTAAGTTAGGGTTTTTCGAAATGCTGACACGCCGAGCCCAAAAGGTTCGCCATCCCTGGTCTAGGACCTAGAACAGGGGTGGGCAACCCCCTGGCACACGTGCCAAACATGGCACGCCAGTAACTTTTGCTGGCACGCGAAACCCTCTCTTATAATCTTCCATTTACAGGTTTTTTCTTAATATCGACTTTTTTATTTTTCAGATAAATTCAGTGTAGGTGCATCTTAGATAAATAAATAATTTTACATAACAAGTGATCTTAAAGACCATAGACATGGATGGACTAGCGAGGGGAAGAGCAATTTCTATGCCTCTGCCTTAACTCTCCCTGCCTTCCTAGATCCGACCAGTGTTTTGGTTTCATCCACATACGCTTGTGAATCTTTGTTCTCAGCGATGAATTTTGTTAAGTCTCGTAATAGGAGCAGCCTGACGGATGAAAGTAGTAGCTCGTGCATATCTCTGAAGGTCACGAAATATGAGCCTGATGTAAAGTCTCTGTCATCAGTGACGCAGCAGTGAAGGGTCCCAGGTTCCATTCCGGTCAAGGGCACATGCCCGGGTTGTGGGCTTGATTCCCAGTAGCGGGTGTGCAGGAGGCAGCCAATTGATGATTCTCTCTCATCATTGATGCTTCTATCTCTCTTTTCCCTCTCCCTTCCTCTCTGAAATCAATAAAGATTTATTTAAAAATCAAAACAAGCCCTGGCCGGCTTGGCTCAGTGGGTAGAGAGTCAGCCTGCGGACTGAAGGGTCCCAGGTTCGATTCCGGTCAAGGGCACATGCCTGGGTTGCAGGCTCAATCTCCAGTAGGGGGCGTGCAGGAGGCAGCCGATCAATGATTCTCTCTCACCATTGATGTTTCTATCTCTCTCTCTCCTTCTCCCTTCCTCTCTGAAATCAAGAAAGAAATATATTTTTTTAAAAAAAACTGCAAAGCAGGCCCGTGGGCGACGACAGGCACTGAGGCGCCAGCGGGGCGAGGCGGCCCGAGACAGGCTGTTTTCTCTGATGCGATGGCTGTTTCTTCAAGAAGGATTTTGTGGAAACAGCCCCAAAATTATTTGTCAAGACATGAAAAGGTGGTGATCCTCCCCGTCAGGTCCTGCTCTCGGCCTCATGCTCTTGAACGCGTGCCCCGCGGAGCAGGGATCCAGGTGCAGGTTTGCGTAAGACGGGCACAGCTCCACAGCTCCTGTGGCATGGCAGCTCTGGCTCCATGTAGTTCTCAGCCATCACTGCGCCTGGACCTCTGCGGGGACCACTGGCACAAGCAACGCAAGACCGGGGGCAAGAGGAAGCCCGCCACAAGAAGTGACCATATGAGCTCGGCCGCCCTGCTGCCAACACTAACATGCCTCCCCCCCAACCTCACCCTCCCCCCCCCATAGTCTGTGTGCGGGGAGGCAGCAAGGCCAACTTCTCCTGGGGCTGGGAGTGTTGTGCCCCAAAAACAAGGATTACGGACGCTGTCTACAACACAACCAGCAACAAACCGGTCGCAGCAAGACCCCAGTAAAGAGCTGCCTGATGCTCATGACAGGACCCCACGCGACAGTGGTACGAACCCGCCAGGCACCGCCCCTGGGCCGAAGCAGGGGGGCCAAGCGGATTCCTGGGGAGGAAGACCCTTTAAACAAAAAACGAGCAGAGAAAATTCAGAAGAAATATGGAAAAGGAAAAAGCATGCCAGAATCAGCCGCGGTCTAGCTCCAGCAGGCAAGTTCCTGCACGCACGGCTCCCAGGCCAGGCCCGTGTGGCCGCAGAAGGCTCTGCTGGAGGGCCAGGGGCTGGGGTTCCAGCTGAGGAAACTCTAGGCCAGGAGCAGCAAATAAACCCTTCCTCCGAGCATAGCTCATGTAATACAGGTGTTTATTGTTCAAATAAAGTGGCTTCATTTATTTAAAAAAAATAAACGGGAACTATAACAAGCTTTATAAAGCGCTAGTGAAAACCTGGAAATAACCCAAATGTTCGACAACAATGGATCCATTTGAAAGCTGCGGCCCCTCCGTGGGGCGGGATGGGGCGGGACGCAGCCCTCCCTCTGAGCCGGCACTGGGCGTTGCGGGGGCTCTTGGAGGGCGGATGGTTTTCCAGGGAATTTTCCATTTCTGCTCTAGTTTAAGTTTCGCGTTATGACCCGGCTGCTTCCAACCAGCCACACCGTTCAGACCAGAAACGGGGCGATACGAGGCTGGCCCCCCTGGAGCGGCACCCCTCCTCCCTCTGCCTTCACCCACAGACCTCGCGGTCGGCCTGATCTCACCGCGGGGCGTCGCGGGAGGTCAGGGAGCCACGCGGGATCGCGCGGCGTGGCGGGCGGGCGGGCGGGGGGGGCGGGGAGGGGCGGGCGCAAGGCGGCGCTCACGCCCCGGTTTGCAAGGAGACGGAGTTCGCGGTGTGACCTTGCGAGCGGCTCCGCGTCCATGGGCTTCGGCTTCCTGCGGCCCGAACGAGCTGAGCCCCGGTGCTGGCGCCCGGCTCGGACCCCAAACCGGACACGGGGGCCGGCAGGGGCTCTGCCTCCAGGCCCCGCGCGAATGTCTAGCCGCTTCCCCCGGGGGGGTCCCCAGCCCCAGGGCCTCCCGGGGCGCACGAAGCGCGGACTGCGCCCCAGGAAAGCCCGGCCGCCCTGGTCCGGCGCTGCACCCCGCACCCCGCACCCAGGCCGCGCCCCGGGAAAGCCCGGCCGCTGCACCCCGCACCCAGGCCGCGCCCCGGGAAATCCCGGCCGCTGCACCCCGCACCCCGCACCCAGGCCGCGCCCGGGAAAGCCCGCCGCGCTCCGCATCCGAGCATCCTCACCCTCGCGGCCGCCCATTGGCCGGCGCCGGCTCTGCGGGCCGCCCCGTAGCCAATGGCGGCCGGGGGCGGGGCTGCGGGCTCGGCCGGATGCTCGCAGGCGCGGCGGCCAGACGCTGCCCGGCGGTCGGCAGCGCAGGTGACAGCAGTGGCCGGCCATGCAGGAGCCCCTGCTGGGAGCCGAGGGCGCGGACTATGACACGTTCCCCGAGAAGCCGGCCCCGTCGCCCGGGGAGAGGACGCGGGTCGGGTGAGAGTGGCGGGCAGGGGCCGCGGCTGGGGCTGGTTTCCGCCTTGGGCCTCGTCTGACCCTGGGAGCGGCCGCCCAGGGGCCAGGAGTCCCCCAGGTGGTCCCACCTAAGGAGCTGGCTGTGTCTCCCCTCCCCCACGGGCCCCCGGGACCGGGCCCACCCCGCAGCTGGCAGGGTCAGCGGGACAGGCCCAGAGACGGCTAAGGGCTTGCCTAAGGTCACACAGCAAGCCGGGGTGGCAGAGCTAAGAGCAGAAACCAGACGTGGCTCAGCCACAACCGCGGGCGTGGGGTCTTCCCTAGGGAGCTGGCAGTCAGACCCTGGGGGAGGAGGGGGTGCCCGTCTGACGGGGCCATCGCTGCCCTCTGCGTGGACGCCCATTGTACTCAGCACAGGCAGCGGTTGGGAAGGGGGGACTCACAGCCCCAACCTCTCTGCCCCCCGCGCTGCCACCAGCGCCCTGCAGAACAAGTGGGTGTTCCTGGCCACCTTCGCGGCCGTGCTGGGCAACTTCAGCTTCGGCTACGCCCTGGTCTACACGTCCCCTGTCATTCCGGCCCTGGAGCGCTCCCTGGATCCAAACCTGAGTCTGACCAAAACCCAGGCGTCCTGGTTCGGGGTAAGGGCCGCACTTTGAGCTCGTAGGGGCGGGGCAGGGGGTGGAGGGACCCCCAGGGCTTTGTCCCCAGCTAGAGACCCCCTAACACAGCCTTAGAGCCCCTCCAGGGCCCTGGTCAGGCCTTTGCCACACCCTCCAGGCTGGGGGTGGAGGGAGTGATGCCCAATGATGCCTCTAAGTCTAAAATAAAAGGAGGAAGTGAGAGACAATGGAGAAGTGTGGGAAGGGCAGGTGGAGAGGCGGCCCTTAAAGTCTCCACCCTGTGGGTTGAGGGTTCCCAGACCCCACCCCCTCGGAGCTGGGCTGTCACAGGGGGGCAGACAACACATTCACTAAGATAGCACATCCATGGGGTCCGGATCCACCTACTATGTGCCAGGGGCATGCTGGGCACTTGCCCTGAGAGCTGGTCGACTCCAGGACAACCCCCTGAGGGGTGCCCTCACTCTCCCCATCATGAGAGAAGCTCGGACAGACTGAGCAGCAGACTGAGTGCCCGACGCACTGACCGGGCCCCCCTCACTGTGCTTAGGGGGAACTCAAGGACCCCCGAACCTCAAAATCCCAGGGGCTTCTGATCCAGAGCCCTCCTGTCCGCTCCATTCCAGTTTTAGACATTGACACGCCCAGCTGGACGGCACCGCTGTGGCCCGTGCCCCCCTCCTCCCCAGAGCAGGGCTCCCTGTGGCGGGCTCCCTAGCGAATGGCTGTCCACATGCTGCTTGTGCGCCTCTGGCGACGGGAGGCTCACTGCCCTTCAGGGCCTGAGTCCCGCAGAAGCAGCTGTCTCTGGGCCCCGATGCAGGGTGGGGGCGGGGGGATGCGGTGCCCAACCACGCCTGCCCGCCTTCTCTCCAGTCCGTGTTCACCTTGGGCGCCGCGGCCGGGGGCCTCAGTGCCATGGTCCTCAACGACCTGCTGGGCCGGAAGCTGAGCATCATGTTCTCAGCGGTGCCCTCGGTGGCCGGCTACGCGCTCATGGCGGGCGCCCGTGCCTTCTGGATGCTGCTGCTGGGCCGGACCCTGACGGGCTTCGCGGGAGGGCTCACGGCTGCCTGCATCCCGGTAAGGCCAGCTGCGTGCATCCCGGTAAGGCCGGGCGGGCCCCAGGTGCCCTCGCAGCCCTGTGGCGTGCCGGCTGGCCTCCAGCCCCCGCCCCCCCCCCCCCGCCCCCCGCCCTGGTCAGTGGGGATGTGTTTGCAGCTCATTCAGGGCCCTCTGTCATCATGTCCCCAGCTTCCCCCACTCGGACTCCCCAAACTTCCTACCCTGTTTCCTGACAGTCAGATAAGTTACTCAACTAGAGAAAATCTACATTGAGCAACAGGGAGGAAGGGAAGTCCCTGCCCCGGCCCCAGTCTTACCCACCACGCCCCCCCCCCCACCCTCCAGGGGCTGGGCCCGCCCAGCAGGGGAGCAGAGACGGGCTCTCACACTCCCCATTTCAGAGCTGAGTGCTTCTGCCTCCCTGACAGTTAGGGAAACTGAGGCCCAAGGGAGGTCATGAGGTGAGTCGTGATCAGGACAAGGGACCCACCGGAAACCCCACCCCCCTCTTTGCAAGGATCACCACCGCGGCTGCCTGGGCCAGGCCTGCGTCCTCACCACAGGCCGGGTGGGGGGTCTTGCAGGTGTACCTGTCTGAGATTGCTCCCCCCCGCGTCCGCGGGGCTCTGGGGTCCACGCCCCAGCTCATGGCCGTGTTCGGGTCGCTGTCTCTCTATGCGCTTGGTAAGACAAGTGCTCAGCACCTCCTTGTGCCGGATGGGGGGGAGGGGGTGCCTGAGCCAACGTGGTGGGAAGGGAACGATGTGCCCCCAAATGAGCTGCAGGCTGGGAGGGGAGACACCTGGTTTCCCGGCCGAACCACACAGTGTACCCCCGGCAGCTCCCTGCCCCTCTGGTCACCAGACCCCCCTACCTGGGCGGGGGCGGCTGTGGGCCAGCAGTCTCAGTGGGAAATCCACATAGAAGGGGGATCAGGGCAGCCCGCTGAGGCCAGGAAGGGGTGGGGGTGGAGGCCCGGCTCTTGCTTGCTCAGGCCACCCCTTCATCACCCCGCTGTGGCATTGAGACCCTCCAGGGCCCTGGGCCAGGGGCCAGGCCGTCCCTGGGCCCCTCCTGGTCTAGAACACAGAGGGCTGGGCTGATGGGGCAGATGCCCATAGGAGGGGGCGCTGGGAGCAGCCTTGAGGGCAGGTGAGGTTGCTCAGAGCCCAGGGGAGGGGCTCCGCGTCCAGCCGGACCCCAGCTCCTCGCTCCTCCCTGCAGGCCTCCTGCTGCCGTGGCGCTGGCTGGCCGTGGCCGGGGAGGGGCCCGTGGTCGTCATGATCCTGCTGCTCAGTTTCATGCCCAACTCGCCGCGCTTCCTGCTGTCCCGCGGCCGCGACGCCGAGGCCCTGCAGGCGCTGGCCTGGCTGCGCGGGGCCCAGGCCGACATCCGCTGGGAGTTCCAGCAGATCCAGGACAACGTGCAGAGACAGGTGCGGGAGTAGGGGTGGGGGGCAGGCGGGGGGGCGCCCTGCCCCACACCCACCTCAGGTGCCTGCAGCTCTGTGGCTGCGGCCTCTCTGAGCCTCACTGGCTTTTCCCAGAAACTGGGTTACCGGTGTTCCTGACTCCACCTGACCCGGAGGCCACATGCGGGGGATGCCTAGGGACCCGGAGAGCCTGCCACGCAGGCGTCTGCCCTGACCCACCGTTGGTCCAGGAGCCGGGGATCTGGGCAGGGGTCCCCCAGCCTGCCCCCTGGCCTGGGTTGTTTCCCGGAGGAGGGAAGCAGGGAGTCCCCACCTAGCTCCATGCAGCCCAGGGCAGGCGGCACCGCTGGAGGGGCTGGCCCTGCCCCCTGAGCAGCGCTTGTGTCTCCAGAGCAGCCGCATGTCATGGGCCGAGGCCCGGGACCCCCACATGTACCGCCCCATCGCCATCGCCGTGTTCATGCGCTTCCTGCAGCAGCTGACGGGCATCACGCCCGTGCTGGTCTACCTGCAGCCCATCTTCACCCGCACCGCCGTCCTGCTGGTGAGCACCGGGCCAGCGCCACCCACCTGGCGCCCGCTCGCCCCACCTAGACCTGCAGTGCTGCATGTGGGCTCGCGTGCCGGTGGAGGCCTCCTGGGCTGGTAACTGATTCCGTGCATACACCCGTTCTCAGAGTAACGTTTGCGAGTAGAGCTTACAGGTTTAAAGAAGCGCCCCAGGTGACAGAGAAAACCAGTGTCAGGGCTGTGCAGACCTCTGGGCACGGAGCACAGGCTCAGTGTCTGCCTCTGGCCTCGGGGCCACGTGCCCCAGGCGGCCTCTGCAGAAAGGAGATAAAGATGCCTGGCTTCACTGCCGGCCCTGGGCACAGAGGGCGATGAGATCTGAAGATTAGTGGAGCCAGTCCCACCGGCATTGTCCCGCTGGGTCCTGCGCCCCTGCCCGAGAGGCCCCCAGGCCAGGGCAGGGGCCAGAGAAAGGGCCTGGCACGTAGCAGGTGCTTAGCGGCTCCATGCTCCCAGGAGCTGGGGTCAGGGCGTGGGGCCTGAGCACCCTGAGTGTCTTGTGGGGGAGGGCGGCGGGGCAGGAAAGCAGGACGGGTTCCTCAGCCCACGGCCTCCTCCCTGCAGCCCCCGCAGGATGACGCCGCCATCGTGGGCGCCGTGAGGCTCTTTGCGGTGATGATCGCGGCCCTCACCATGGACCGGGCCGGCCGCAAGGTCCTGCTCTTTGTCTCAGGTGAGCCCCCACCCCCGCCGGCAGCTGCAGCCCCACAAGGTGGGAGCCATGTGACTGGGCTCCAGGGGCTTGGGTGGGACCTGCCCTGGTGGCCCCTGCCTCACACCCGGGCACAGGGCCTGGCACGCACCGGCTGCCCCAGAGGTCTGCTGGGCTCCTGTGAGCGAACAGCCCGCTGGCACAGCGTGTGGGTGTGGTGGACGCCCGAACACGGGGGAGCTTCCAGTCTGGAAGTGACCAGTCCCCGTGGGCTGTGCTGGCGCCCGAGGAGATGGGGCCACAGGGGTGGCTCCGTGGAAGGGGCTCCCAGGAGCCGCAGCTCAGAGGGTCCTGGCCCCGAGGGCCTCTGGTCCGTCCACAGCCTCCATCATGTTTGCGGCCAACGTGACACTGGGGCTGTACATCCACTTGGGCCCCAAGCCTGTGGCCCCCAACAACACCATGGGCCTCGAGAGCGTGCCCTTGGGGGGCGCAGAGCAGCCCCTGGCCACACCCACCAGCTTCCTCACCCTGGTGCCCCTGCTGGCCACCATGCTCTTCATCACGGGTAGGTGTGGCGGTTGGGGCTAGGCGCTGCCGGCCCGGGAGGGAGGGCTGTCATGGGGGTGGGGGGGGGCTGTGTCGTGGGCAGGGCACTGCTGTCCTGGGTGGTCGGGTGGCTGGGGAGGGTCTCTCAGCAGCTCAGGCCTGAGCTGCCCTGCTGCCCCCCTGCACAGGGTACGCCATGGGCTGGGGGCCCATCACGTGGCTCCTCATGTCTGAGATCCTGCCGCTGCGGGCCCGCGGCGTGGCCTCGGGGCTCTGCGTGCTGGTCAGCTGGCTGACCGCCTTCGCCCTCACCAACTCCTTCCTGCCAGTGGTGGTGAGTGCCCCGCCGGGGGCTGTGCTGGGGGCTCTCCACCGCGGCCCACGCGGCAGGGACAGCTAACGGTCGGGACAGAGGACAGTGGGCTGGGAGCTGTGCTGGAAAGTCAGCTGACCTCCCGCCAGGAAGCCACACCCGCTCGCTCTGTCACCCTCCGGGGCCGCTGGGCCTGTCTGGGCAGTGAGTCTCAGTGTGCCCTCCTGGCCAGCCACGCGTGGCATCCTGCATGCCACACACAGGGCGCCCACCTGGCTTAACCCCCCCATGGGTTCCCAGCCGGGCAGGCCCTGATGCCAGTGGAATCTGAGCCCCAGCGCCCAGGCAGAGTCCGATGGGGCAGCTCTGAGGGTGCTACCCAGGGCCAGGCAGGGCTGGGCCCAGAATGGGTGAGAGGGCTGGGAGGCAGGTGTGCCAGCCCCGGCAGAGGCATAGATGGGCACAGGGCAGGAAGGGAGGCTGGGGCCCAGGAGCGCAGGCGCAAGCCCTCAGGCTTCCTGAAGGCAGGGGCATGAGCAGCTGAGATGAATAAGAACGGCACTGGCTGGGGAGGGGTGCCGGGGTGAGGCTGAGGCCAGAGGGCCCGGCAGGGCAGGCTGAGCGAGGCCAGGGCGGGAAGGACTCCCAGGCCCGCACAGAGGAAGGCTGGGTGCAGGCCTCCGGGGCCTCGAGTGCCACCTAAGGCCCTAGAGCTCAGGCTGCGGGCAGAGGGGAGCCCCAGGTCTCTGAGCGAAGAGCAGGTGGAGGCCCCCAAGGTGGCAAAGGCAAGCAGGGCAGGAAGCTCACGCGGGGGTGGAGGGTCCTCAGTGCCGTGTGACTGACTCCTCTCCGCCCCCAGAACGCCTTCGGCCTGCAGGTGCCTTTCTTCTTCTTCGCCGCCATCTGCTTGCTGAACCTGGTGTTCACCGGCTGCTGTGTGCCCGAGACCAAGGGCCGCTCGCTGGAGCAGATCGAGTCCTTCTTCCGGACCGGGAGGAGGTCCTTCCTGCAGTAGGTCAGCGCCCCGCCTGGGGGGCCGCACCCTGGCGGCCAGGCCTTCGTGCTGGCCACCAACCGGAACCCCGAGTCCAGGAGGGAGCAGCCTGCCACCAGCCGGAGACAGCACGGCCAGCAGCACTGATCCCCGGGGAGCGCCTCCTGGCACCCGACAGCCATCAGCACCGGCCGCCCTCGGCCCAGCACAGCAGCCATGGCCGCCCACACAGCGGCCAGGACCCGCCGGCAGAGGAGGCAGCCATGCGCCGCAGGGGAGCACGCTGCCAGGGAAGCACCGCCCAGGACTGGGGGCCTCAGGCCACACTGGGCAACCTCAGACCGATTTGCCTACTCGCCCACGGAGGCCGAGATGAGGACAGACAGCTGGAGGCAGAGGAGTGGCTCCGAGCACCTGGCTGCCACCCAGCACCTAGGCCTGGGGAGGAAGGCGGAAAGCTGCACCCGAGGGCTGGGCGGCACCACGGGCAGCGCTCCGCACTCCCGCAAGCCGGGGCACTGGCCCAGCACAAACACTAACTCCCGCACCGTCTTGACGCGTGGGAACTGAGGGCTCGGCTACCCACTTAGGAAAATAAAGACATTGAGCTGTGACCCTGCTGTGGAGCCCTGGTGGGGGAGCCCTGGTGGGGGAGCCCCGCAGCCAGGTTAGACCGCGTTTCAGCCAAGGTTGCCAGGGCCTGCGGTCCCAGGACCCCCTTATGGCCGCCCCCCCCCCCCCACCTGTCCACAGTGAGGCAGAGGCTGGAGTCAGGCCTGCCCGCAGGCTCCCGCACTTCCAGCCGTGGGGCCTCGGGCCAGCAGCTGGTGGCACAGCCGTCCGGATAAGGGCAGCTGTTCCCAGGGCCAGAGCATCCCTGGGGTCCAGGCATCCCTCCCCCTCACTTAAGGCAGCGTGCGTGAGCATACAAACTGCCACCAGGCTTTATTGCTCCACAGTCAAGGTAAACAGAAAGCAAGAGCCAGAAGGCATTCCAGACACGGAGGCAGGCGTGGGCCTGTGGCGGCCCCTCCGCCTCTGGACAGAGGTTCCTTGCAGGCAGAACTCCCCGGGAGACAGGTCACGGGCTCCAGGACCACTCGTCACTCACTGGGAACCTTGGGCAAGTGCCTGCCTGCTCTGGCCTGTGACGGAGGGGCTGGAGGGCCCTGCCACATCTCCCAGCTCTACAGCCGGCCCAGCACCCACCCAACTGCCCACAGGGCACAGGTGCAGCCTCCCTTGCCACACGCAGCCAACTCTCCTCCCGCAGCACGGGCCATCGGCGAGCTCCCTGTACCGACAGGAAGCTGGCAGGAGTGACACCGGCCCCCTTCCTGGATCAGGAGCCCAGAGGGCGAACGGCTGCTGCTCCTCCTGGGAGGTAGACAGGTCTTATTCACGGCACACGTGGAGAACACACACACGCACGCACACGGCACACACACCACCAGCCCGGAGGCCTGGGCCCCAGCCCTGAGGAGGGCGGCCCCAGAGGAGCCTGAAGGCACGTGTCCACCGCACTGGCCACTGTAGGGTGCTGGGCTCGGCCCCGCTGGGGACGCTGCTGACCGGGGCCCAGGGATGTGTCCCTGGGGCAGGGCTGCCACACCCTGAAAGGCCCCTCTGGGAAGCCAAGAGCCGGGCACTGCCCTGGTCTGGAAGCCAGAACAGGTCCAGCATTGGGGCCTGGGGGCTGGGAGGAGGAGGAGTGGGCCCCTGACAGAGCATTCTCCACACCTGCCCATCCTGCCAGGTGCAGACAGGCCCTGGCAGACATGCCTAATAGCTGAAGGCCAGCCGGGCAATCAGAGTGGCCAGTGGGCACGGCCACGGGCAGAGGAAGTGACAATGTGGAAGGAGCCTGCAGGAAACCAGCCCACAGGTCCCCAAAGGGCCACTCCCTGGGCACCAGCTCTCCACCTGCCCAGCTCTCACAGGGATACCAAGGTGGGGCAAGCTCAGGCTTGCAGACAGGGCAGGACCCCACTTCCTTAGCACCAGGGGGCGGGGAGGGGAGAGCCTGGGCTCAGGCCAGGCCGTGGGCCGCATCCTGGAGCGGTCTGTCCGAGGCCCAGGGAACTGGGGGAGGCACCAGTCCCACCAGTTGTCCAGCTGCTGCCGAGGCTGCTGTTCCAGGTGCGCCAGGAGCATCGTGGCCGCCCTGCGGGCTCCCATGGAGGAGCGTGGCTGGGGCCGTGGGCAGCAGCAGACAGCCCTCCACCACTGCTCTGCCCTGAAGGCCGGTGGACAGAGGTGGCCCAGCCTCCCGGAGGCCTCCTGCCTGGAGAGCGGAGAGGAGGCTCACTGGCTGCAGCCCGGCCTCCGACCGGGAGACGGGACCAGGGCCGCAATGAAAGCTCCTCCAGGCTTCCCGGGCACCGCGGTTCTGCCAGCCGTGACCGTCCACCCAAAGCCTGTTTCCAGCCACGCAGGCTGCCGTGGGGCCAGGAGGGCTGTTGGGGCAGAGCCCAAGTCCTATGGCCTGGCTCACCAAGGCTGGCAATGCCCATGTCCTTGCTGCTGGGCAAGGCCCACAGAGCCCTCATCCCAGCATCAGCTCAGGGCCAGGAGATGCCAAACTGGGAAGAGGGGCAGACAGGGTTCCAGTGTGGGGACAGGTGCAGAGAAGCTGATGGGAGCTTGGCAAAGGCTCCTCCTCCAGGCTGTCCCCCAGGGTCAATGCCTCCTCCTCCAGGCTGTCTCCCAGGGTCAATGCCTCCTCCTCCAGGTTGTCCCCCAGGGTCAATACTTCAGGGCCTGTCCTCTTGAACTTGCTCACGCAGAACCCGAGGAGTGAGAGGGTGGGGAGGTCCCCTGGACCCATGTCACAGCTCCCCCTCCAGGGTCTCTGCGAGCTTCTCCTCGTCAGCCTGCTGCTTCTGCTGCTGAATCCGGGCGTAGGAAATGGCGTCACCCCTGGGGAGACAGCAAGGCAGGGTCACAGGAGGGACAGGCCCCAGGCACATGGCCCTCCCAGCCACTACCCGGTTCCTGGCCAGCAACCTCACCATGACCTGCAGGCACAGCCTACCGGGTCTTCGGGTTTCCTCAGAGAGCTTGGTGCTCACTGGCAAACGTGTCCTGTCACCTCTAACAGTGGCGCAGGCTGCCTGGATGCCAGGCTGGGGGTGGCACCTGCCACAGTGCCGGGGGGCCTGCATGGGGAGGCTCTCACGAGCCCTGTCCACATCCCGGCCACAGGCTGACGAGGCGAGACTGGCCTCCAAGAGGCCTCACAGAGCCTGCTCATTCCCTGGAGCTGAACACCCTGAAGATGCTGACGGATCACTGACCACCTCTGTGCCTCAGTTTCCACAACTGGATACCAAGGGCCACTGTCAGACCCTCCTCACTGAGACTCGGGGGGCAGGAAGGAGAGAACCCCCGCCCCAGGGGGGCTGGGATGGGCGGACGCACTTTTTGCCCAGGGCAGAGAGTCCGTACAGCACGCCGGTGGCGAAGGCGACAGCGTTGCCCAGCAGAGTGGTCAGGGTCAGGCTGATGATGATGGGGACGACGGCCATCCTGAGGGAGAGGCAGAGGTCACGGGGCGTGCCCCACCTGCAGCCGCCACCCACCTCCAGGCTCCCCCGTCCACCCAGCCCCGCCCTGACCACCAGGTACAGGAGAGTCCCCAGAAACCAGCTGGGATGGAGGTTCACAGCTGGGCTTCCTAAGTCCTCCAGTGCCCATGACCTTGTCTGCCCGATTCTGGGTGTCGTCATCGGATTTGTGAAAAGGTCTGTGACCCAAAAAGGGCTAAGACAGCACTGAGATGGTCCAACCCCCTCTAGTTCATAGAAACAGGCGACCAGGAAACCTCTCGTCTATTCAGTCCCTTACGGCTCTGTGCCTGTGGGCTCTGTGCCGGGGGGGCTCTGTGATGGTGGGCAGCCTGCTTAACTTCTCTGAGGCTGTCTCTACTGTGGGTGGGAATCAACCCTCAGAAGCTTTGCGAGCGACTTGAGCGAGGGAGGGCCAGTTCACACACCGCCTGGGACAGAGGCACTAATTAAATGCGGGCCCCTGGCAGCACAGGACAGCCCGCCATAGGTCAACAAGGAAGAGCCAAAGGTGGAACCCCACGAGGCATGGGGCTCATTGCCAGGTCCCGGCACCGGCAGCTCACTGGCTCTGTCCTCTCTGGTCCCACATACAGCCTGGCGCCACCTGGCGGCAGGTGTCCCCTTGGGCTTAAGTACCCGCTGGGCTGAGCCTGATGGTGGGATTAACTCGGGCAGGAAAACTCTGAGAAATGTGTGGGGACATGGACCAGCATGTCCTGCCACTTCCTGGGTGAGGCTGCCCACGCTCCCAGGCACGCGCCCCGGCCTCCCCCTGCCCACAGTGTGACGTACAGAGGAGCAGACAGCGGGCACAGCCCTCTGGCCACGCGGGGGAGGAGAATGGGGCCTGACCTTCTGACTTCACCAGGACTTCCAATCTGGCTGCCACGTGACATGACGTCCTACTGGGCAGCTGACCCCTGCACCACACGGGTTTGCACTGCACAGGTCCACGCGTGTGCAGACCTTTTCAATAAACGTGCACAGCACTGTAAATGCATTTACATATATTTTATTTTCTTCCTTATGATTTTTTAAGATATGTTTATTGATTTCAGGGAGGAAGGAAGAGGGAAAGATAGAAACACCAGTGATGAGAGAGAATCATGGATCGGCTGCCTCCTGCACACCCACTGGGGATCAAGCCTGCAACCCGGCATCTGCCCTGACCGGGAATCTAACTGTGACCTCCTGGTTCATGGGTCGATGCTCAACCACTGGGCCACACTGGCCAGGCATCTTCCTGACGATTGTAATGTTTCTCTTCTCTAGCCTACTTTATTGTGAGAATACAGTATATGGTACCTACCTATGTGTCAACCCACTGCTTATGTTGCCGATGAGGCTTCTTTTAGTCAACAGCAGGCTATTAACGCTTCCGTTTTCAGGGGGTTTGACTGCATGGGGTTGGCACCCCTAACCCCTGTGTTCTTCAAGAGTCAAGTGTAGTTACAAAATTTCTAAGTGATAAAGGAATAACGGAAACTACAACAACAACAACAGAAAGACCACAGGGGGAAAATCTGTCAAAACAAAATTAAAGGCAAACAACAGACTAGAAAAACATCTGCAGGAAATCTGACAAAGGATTAAGAAATCTTTAATATAGAGACACATAATAAGGGAACACTAAGATGCCAATAGGTAAAAAGTAAAGTGGACCATTTTCCCAAAAGAAAAATGCGATCGTGGAAAAATATTTCTCCTCAGATGACAGACAGAATGTGGACATGGTGCAGCGCATGGTGGGTGGACGGGGAAACCAGGCACCCTCCTCTGTGCAAAGCAACCCAGTCCCCCCGAGACCTTCTAACCCAGCGCACCCTCCGACCCAGTGACCCCACACCTGGGCATGCGTCTGAGGCCTCATCTTACACACAGGAAGTTTTAGTGAAGGTCAAAGGTCGGTTTAGACCACGTTCACAGAGCAGGGCGCATGCCCCGCTGAAGAAATAACCCTATTGTGACCTTGGGGAGTCCCTGTGGTGATTCTGAGAATGTTTATGTCATAATGTTTAATTTTAAAAGCACGGGAACAGGTTTACTTCTAACGGTGAGAGCTGTAAGAGGCAGGTTTAGCGCCACGCCTGAAGACAGAGACACGCATCACAATGTTAACAGGGAGCAGGGCTTGGGCAACAATTTCCCATTTTAACGAATATGTATGACTGCTGGCGTTTAAAGAGTAGAGATCCGGGCCAAGGGCGCGGAGATGCAGTGTCCGTGACCCTGTGTTTAGATTTGGGGCGATGGCTCCGGGACGGGACTCCCATCTGAGCTCAGTCCCGAATGCTGGGCTCCCGGGGAAGGAACCCTGGAAACAGGCACCTCGCATCTACCCCCAAAGGCAAGCGAGACAGTAAAACCTGCAGCTGCTGCTGCCAGAGGCTGTGGAGAGCTGGGGCTCGGGGCGCTGTGCTAGAAGCTTCTGCATATTAAACACCCTGCAGTCAGCGCCTCTCAGGGCTCAGCGTCTGGAGCGTGTTCTCTGTCTGCATCTCCCCTCGCGCCGGGCGTCCAGCTCGGGAAAGGCTGCGCAGACGCCGGCACAAACATACCCGGATGCGTTTCAGGGTCCCAACTGACGGGCCCTTTCTCTGTTACACACCAAGCGGAACCGTGTATGACCGGGCGGCGGTCCCACAAAGGAATCCCAGGTGAAACCTCCCCCGAGCGACCGCGGGCGCCTGACCCCACCCTCAGGTCACTGCCGGGCGGCGTTCGGGAAGCATGCCAGGGCCCCGCAGCCCTCACCCGCAGTAGAAGACGGCCTTCTGCCAGGAGCGCAGCTGGTCCACCTTCGCCGCCACCGTGTTGGCGAACTCGATGAACGGGCAGCAGAAGGGCACCTCGCAGAGCAGCAGGACGAAGGCATTCGTGCTGGAGGCAGGGCGGGAGCGTGGGCTGACCGCTGGACCCCAACAACGTCTCACCACTCCCCGTCCCGTGCCCCTAACTGAACTGAATGCCCGAGGCGAGAATCGGGGTCTTCCCTTGATCCAGGCCGGGGACAGCTCAGCCATAGCGCAGACCGTGTCCAGCTGGGGACAGCCAGGCCTTAGCGCAGCCCGTGTCCAGCTGGGGACAGCCAGGCCTTAGCGCAGCCCGTGTCCAGCTGGGGACAGCCAGGCCTTAGCGCAGCCCGTGTCCAGCTGGGGACAGCCAGGCCTTAGCGCAGCCCGTGTCCAGCTGAGGACAGCCAGGCCTTAGCGCAGCCCGTGTCCAGCTGGGGACAGCCAGGCCTTAGCGCAGCCCGTGTCCAGCTGAGGACAGCCAGGCCTTAGCGCAGCCCGTGTCCAGCTGGTGACAGCCAGGCCTTAGCGCAGCCCGTGTCCAGCTGGGGACAGCCAGGCCTTAGCGCAGCCCATGTCCAGCTGGGGACAGCCAGGCCTTAGCGCAGCCCGTGTCCAGCTGGTGACAGCCAGGCCTTAGCGCAGCCCGTGTCCAGCTGGGGACAGCCAGGCCTTAGCACAGCCCGTGTCCAGGCTGGGACAGCTCGGCCATGGGGGCTGAGGGTGCACGCTCAGTCTTCGTGTTCTCTGTGGCTGGGTCAGGCACAGACCCTGGACCCTTCCATTCACCTCCAGGCCTGAGGAAAGTCCCTGGGTCCCCTCATTTGGCAGAAACACAGGCTCAGGGCACCCCAAAGCCCCCCACCCTCCCAGAGCAGGAACTCTCTGCACAGCTCACACTGCTCTCACCCCCAACCTCCCACACGGCCAGGCCTCCCAGTGTGGCCCTCCACAGCACTTGGCCAGCTCTTCTCTTCCAAGGGTCCAGGGCCTCTCCCCTGTCGGGCCCGTCCCCCTGCCTCGGCCAGCACAGCTCCAGGCTCCAGCATCACAACCCAGGCCTCACCACTGCCTGAGCCCGGACATCTGCCCATCTCTGTGCTCCCCCCGCACCGCCCCATGTGGGCAGGGGCCCCGCTGGGTGCTCAGCCACTTCTCATTGTCTGGGGGTGTCAGATGCAGCCAGAGCGGCTCTGCCCAGTTCTCACCCCTCCCTTCCCTCCCCACGGGGCAGCTACCCTGGCAGGAGGTGGGCAAGGACTCATCAGGCGTTCTAATGCCTGACCCTCGCCCACTCTGATCTGCTCCATCTGCAGCCTGCACTGCCTGCCCACCTCAGAGCTGGACCGCCTGATCCCAGCACCTGACTGAGACCCGACAGAAACCTTCCTTCCCGCGTCATCGTCATGGGCTGGCCGGGATGGCCTGGGGGCTCCCAGGGCGAGGCCCATGGCCGTGGACTTGGTGCCCGCGGAGTCTGATGTTGTATGTAGACACTACACCCAACAAAGGCCGGGGGGGGGGGGGGGCGGCATTCCAGGCCCGGCCCTGACAGGGCTCCAGAAAACCGAGTCCGGGGCACGGAGGAGGAGGAGATGCGCAGGTGGCCCGAGCCCCGCAGGAAGGCGCGCTACTCACATCATCCACACGCCCGCCGCGATGTTCAGAGGGTGGATGGTGATGCAGCTGAACAGGCCCGAGATGGCGCACGCTTGAAAGCAAGAGACACGGCAGGATTAGAAGCAGGGGAGGGACGGGTCCGCCGCGAAGGCCACCGGGGAGACGGTGTGTGACATCAGAATCCCTTCCGACCCCCCCCCCATTCCCAGGGGGCCCACGAGAAGTCCTCTGACTCAGGCAATGGCCTGGGTCCCCCCCCCATTCCCAGGGGGCCCACGAGAAGTCCTCTGACTCAGGCAATGGCCTGGGTTTGGGCTGTGACAGGGCTGCCTCTGAGAACAGCCAGGACAGGCAGGCCTGGGTCCCAGGCTCTGACTACACACCAGCCAGGGCCGTGGTTGTGTGTGTTCTCCTCACCTCGCAGGCCTGTTTTCTCTCCTGCACACAGGCCAGTCCCGTGTCCGGCCTGCCCACCCCGGCACAGCAAGGGGGTGCATCCTCGTCTACCCTTGAAAGGGGCTTCTCGGGTGCCCACATGTGGAGCGTTGCCCACCCCTCCCCACTGCACCCTGCGGGGCAGGGTCTGCCACACTCGCCCTCCTCCTCTCTCCACAGCCCGCAGGCCCAGCTTCACCAAGAATGCCGGCAGCCTGCCAGGCAGGTCCAGGGACCCAGCCAGCGCATAGCTGGTGAGGGCCCGCTGAGCACCAGCAGCACCAGGTCATTAAAGTTGCATCGCGCCTGTGCACCTGAGCCCGGCGCGGCTGGAATTCCAGTTTTCCCGTGTAACCCTATGCAGGCAGCAGGCGGGGGAGGAGGACCAGGCAAAGTGAGCCCAGCTGCAATGGGGCTGCCCTCATGTGCCCCCAAGCCCGCCTAAATAACAGACGTACTTCCTGCCCGCCAAAAGCATGCCGCTGGCACACTCAGGCCAGGTGCCCGGGGCCACGACGCCGAGCGCCCACAAGACAACACTGCTCTGTGCTCATCAGCCTCTGTGCCAGGCTTCCAGCTCCTTCCTAAGACCTCCGCTGTGCCCTCTCCCACCCCCTCCTCCAGGGCTGAGGGAACAGGAAGAAGAGCAGGCCATTCAAACAGGCGTGTATCTGCCTTTGGAAGACCTGCCAGCCGGTCTTTATTTTACTTCTGGAGCTGACCGCCTTCCTGTGGATGCTCTCTTGGGGGCTTGTGCTAAACCCGCCGGACTGTCCCGGACACCCGAGGTCAGGGGGTGTGCCCCGCGGTCAGGGGGGTGCCCCGAGATCACCCCGAGGTCAGGGGGGTGTGCCCCGAGGTCAGGGGGGTGTGCCCTGAGGTCGGGGCGTGTGCCGGCCGGGGCTGGGGGGCAGGTGGGGAGAGGAAGGATGGCCGGGCAGAACTGCCCGGAGTGGGGTCGCACTGGCCGCCTCCCTCAGCTCACTACCCGCCCGTCCTCTCCACCGCTGGCCTCAGGAAGCACCGCCCCGCTCGCAAACAACCTTCGCCCAAAGGTGAAGACGGCGGCGCCCCCACCCTCACCGAGGTCAACAGGTGGGGCCGCCGCGGGCCAGGCCAGCGGCGCTTCGCAAGCAGCCTCAGGGCGGACGCGGAGACCGGGGCGCTGTCCCCAGGTGCCGGGGCCGCGTCCAGCCCCGCGCGCCCGCCGAGCTCAGGTTCCGTCCTGGAAGGTCCCCAGAGCCGCCAGCCCAGCCGGAAACCCAGCAGCCCAGGCCGCGGCCGGTAACCATGGCAACCGCGCGGGCGCCGCTCCGCCACGCCCCCGCCCCGCGCAGGCCGCGCGTGCCCCGCAGACCCCCGCCCCAAGGCCCCGGGCCCGGAGGCGCGCATGCGCAGTGGGCGGCGGGGCCGCCCCTCGCCCAGACCTGTACTCACAGATGGCCCCCAGCACCCCCGACAGGCGACACAGCCAGCGGTACCACCACGTCATGCCCTCCTCCTGCGCAGGCGGCGCGGAGTTGACGGACGTCGCTGAGGCCCCGTCAGAGCCACTCATGGTGCCGCTATCCGGCGCAGCCCACCGCCCTCACAAAGGGCTCCAGAGCCGGCCGCGTTGGCCAGTGCGCTGCCTTGTGGGAAGGCGGCCTTATTAGCATAGGGGGTGGGGCTTGCAGGTCCGAGGCGAGTAGCGCCCGACGTGCTGGTGCTTATTTGCATAGGGGGCGGAGTTCCGGGGCGAGGCAGAGGTTGGCCCGTCGGGACTCCCAGGTGGACAAACCCGCCCGATGGGCTAGCCGAGGGGCGGGGCTTGGCGGAAAAGGAACAGGTGAGCGCCCAGTGGTGACCGCGCGCCCTGGAGCACCGTCAGGAGTGGCGAGAGGTTCGGCCAGGTCAGGGACGGGTCTGGAACTCGACCGCGGCCGGGGACCCGCCTGCTGTGCGGCGGGCTTGCAAGCAGATCTGGACAGGTTTTGTGAAGAAAACGCCAGTCAGACCGCACGTCCTTTTTATTGGTGCCTGAACGGCTGGGGCTGCCATTCCAGACTGTGTCCCCTTCTGCCCCCAACGTTGTGCTCGTTGGAGAAGGCGCTAACGGCGACACTGAAGATGGGAGGGTGTTCAGCTCGGGAAGCACTCCGGGGCCGGCCAGGCAGCCAGCAGCTCATACAGGTCAGCTCCCCTCCTCGCCCCCCCAGAAGTGGAGGGAGCACCCCTCACTGGACCCGTCGTGCTGGGAGAGGCAGCTAGGGCGAGGCAGTGCGGGGAGCGGGAGCTCTGGACTGCAGTGTCCAGTACTGGCCCCGCAGGCGGGCATGTGTGTCCAGGAAGCCCTGGCTAAACTCCACCTCCGCCTGGCTGCCCTCTGACTCCCAGTAGAGCGCTTGCTGCCCGCGGAATGTGGTCGTTTTCAGACTGTGGACGTCCCGGATCTGGGAGGAGAAGGGCAGCCCCAAAGGGCAGGTCACAAATGAAAACCAGCCGGCGGAGCCCTAGCTGCACCAGGATCTGCGCTCAGGGTCACATTCAGTCCTCACCCAACAGCCCTCTGAGGAAGGCACTGTTAGCCCACCCGGAAGCAGGCTCCGAGCGCTCATGCCCCTCCCCTGGGGCTCGCAGCCAGGGCGCCCGAGCTGGGGCCTGGCCCAGGTCTGCTCTGTTCCACGTCAGGCTGCCTCATCCAGAGGAGCTGACGCCCGGCAGAGGACAATCCTCCCAACACACACACCCCGTGGGGGAGGGGCGCCCCTCTCCTGGCTAAGCTGCCTCCGGCTCTAACATTGTGCTTCAGGCCGGGTTAACGGCTGCCACACGGGACCGGGTCTCTTCTGTTCTCTTGGGGGGCACAGTCAGCATTTGCTGGCGAGTACGCGGAGGAGGCGCTTTTCCCCATTCCTGCACTAATTTGGGAGGTTTCGGTCTGAAGTAGACTCGGGGGGTCCTCTACCCCAGCACCCCGGTCCTCGTCCCCAGGGACAGCTGCCCAGACCACAGCAAGAGTCAGCCATTCCTGTCGCCCTCATGGTGGCCTCACCGAGATGTAGCTGGCATCAGCTCCCTCGGTGCCCATGTCAGTGGCCAGGGCGTGGATGGCGATACGGGCCCACGGAGCCACGTCGATGAAGATGCGGCAGCCCCCCGCGGTCCTCCCACCGGAACTCACCAGTGGGCTGGCAATCTCACCCCGGGGGCCAAAGAGCTGCGTGTCACATTCTGCAGGGGGCGGGGGGATGACGGGGTGTGGCCCAGGATGCAGGAGCCCCCGAAAGACCCTACTGCCAGGGGCCAGGGGCCAGGGGCAGAGCCGCGAGCAGCTGGCGAGCAGCAAGGGGGACAGTGTGGCGCTGGGGCCAAGGCCAGGGCCCAGGCAGAAGCCCCCACTGAACCCCACCTCCTCCACCTCCCGGTGTGATCCCAGGCTAAGGCCTTACACGCTTGAGCTTCAGCTCCCCCCTCTTTAAAGTGGGGGGATGAGAGCAAACACTGGGCCGAGTGGTTTTAGGACTCAGCAAAGTCACACGTGCCAACGTGCTGAACACCGAGCTGGCACAAGGACGGATGCCACCTGCCGTGCCCCCTGGGCCTCCCCTGGGTGGGCCCCTGCATGTGGGAGGCTTGGACGTGGGGAGCGGGGACAGGGAAGGGAGACAGTCGCCCGTGGGCCACTGAGCATGGAGGGGCAGGAGAGGCTCAGATCTCCAGGAAGGAAGAAGCCTCTAGCGTCCCTCTTCTCACCTGAGGCGGGGGGGAGGAGGGGGCAGAAGCCTCTGGGACTGGCTGGGGAAGTGCCTTCGGCCAGAGTGGGCTGTTGGGAGGGGGCAAGCCCTGACCCGATGGGAGAAACCGCCTCGCGGATGCGGAGGCCTGTGCACAGGACCTGGCTGGGTCAGAGGGTCCCAAAGGGTCTTGAAGGGCCTGAGGCCAGGGCCGGGATGCTGGGGCTGTGTGGCCTGAGGGACGGGGTGAGGATGTGGCCGGAGCCCCACTGCCCGTCTCGCTGTAGGGTCACATGCTGAGACTCAAGCTGACCCCTCGCGCAGACTGGCCCCGGCCACCGCAGGTGGGGAGCGGGGGGTGTCCTCGCCCACCGCCCCGCTGGCAGCAGCACAGCCCAGCAGCCCCGGGGCGGGGGAGGCTCTGGCGCCTGCCCACCTCTGTGGAAGGCCCCCGGGGCGGGCCGGCTGGAGAACCGCAGCACCACTCCGCCTCCGCCTCCCGGCCGCACTCGGCGCTGCGTCACCACCAGGGTGTTGGCCTTGGAGCTGAAGGTCAGGCCGGACAGCTTCCTGCACACCTTCCTCCACATGAGCCTGCCCCAGAGCAGCAGCAGCTCCCCTGCGGGCGGCGGGCAGTGAGGCCGGCTCCCGTCCAGGCTGGCAGCAGAGTCCCGGGGCGCACGGCCGGGTTCGGTCCTGACCCTCCCACTTCCCGGCAGCAGCTCTGGTGCCTGGACCTACCGGCGCTGCAGTTGAGGGAGCTCTCCAGCACCTGGAGGGTCAGCACCTCACCCAGGGGCCGCCCGATGGCCACGGCGCAGTCCGCCTGCCCGGCGCCTCGCAAGTCGATGGCTCCTGTCGGCTCGAGGTGCTGCCGGCCACAGGGACCTGGGCAGGGAGCAGGAGACAGAGCTTCTGGGTGGGGCACCCCCAGGGGCAGGGCTGGGTTTTTCCCTGCTGGGAAGGAGGCTGGAGTGTGTGTGGAGGAAGGGGTGAGGCCCTCCTAGGCCTCGCAGGAAGCCCTCTCAGGTGAGGGGTGGGGGCTGCAGGGGTCGGATGTCAGAGTCCGGGCGCAGAGCATTCCTGGATGCTCTGAGGGGCGGGCGTGTGGAAAGTGGTCCTGGCTTCGCACCCTCTGCCCGCCTCCTGCAGCCAGCCGCCCAGACAGCGAGGAGGAAGGGACATACCGGTCCCCCCAGGGCTCTCCTGGGAGAGGAGGCGGGCCCAGGGCTGGGGCCACTCCGGGGAAGCGGCGGCAGGGCCAGCCGTGGTCTGTCCTGGAGCAGCGGCTTCCTCGGGGGGCGCCAGGCTGGGCGTCCCCGGCCCCGCGCAGGGCCCGGCCCAGCAGCCCCGCACCGTGGCGGGCTTGGGCAGGTGCTGGCAGAAGTCGGCTGGCACGGGCCCCTGGGCCTGCGGTCCCAGGCAGGTGTCGCGCCGGAGCTGGACGCCATCCCCGCAGGAGACGGAGCACTGCAGGGAAGAGGGAAGGAGGGGCTGACCCTTCTGAGGGTGACGAGGACAGGGGACACGGGCCAGGCATGACCGCTAGTCTCCGCACAGCACTGGAGGCGCGTCCCTGTCTCCATTCCACAGCGAGCCCCCCGAGGCTGAGGCTGCGGTGTATGGGTCACAGGGAGGAGGGGCAGGGATTCAAGCTCACGTCTCTACCTGTCACCCTCGAGGCCTCTTTGCGTCTCCAGACCCTGGAGCAGGGATCAGGAGGCATGGCTGTCCCCCGTCTGTCCCTGCAGCCGTCCGCCCTGTCCTCCTGCCCAGCACTGCCCTCCTGAGCCCTCATCTCCCCAGCCGATGCCCCTGGCCATTCTGACCGACGGGAGGCAGCTCTGCTTTGCCTCTTCTCTACACCTCGAGCCAGCCCGGAGGCCCAGCCCTACCTCCCGCTGTCTCCCGGTGCCTGGGGAGGTGCTGGGCCGGGGTGGCACCTGCTTGTCCGGGGGGAATCGGGTTGTCTGCCCTCGCCTTCCTGTATCTGCGACCTCGGCCCTCCGAGGGCCCGCTGCCCTCCCCGCCTCCAGGCCTGCTGTCTTCCTCTCTAGGTGCCCGCCCCGCCCCCCATGCCTGCTCTCCATCTGCTTCCGGGCGTCATAGTGACGAAGCTCCCCGGGTCCCCCGTGTGAGGCCTCATCGGATGCTCTCCCCACCCCAGCCGCGGCCTCACCGGTGTCCAGGTGCTGAGGTGCCACTGGTAAGTGCAGTCGGCGATGATGCAGGGGATGCTGGCCCGCGGCCGCGCCAGAGCCGCACAGGCCGCCCCGTCCACCTCCGTGTCCTGGCCTCGGTCCAGCCGCACGCAGGCTATGGAGCGGGTGGCGGTGCCGAGGCCACAGCTGGCTGAGCAGGGGCCACGCGACGTGACTTTCCACCTGCAGGAAAAGAGGCCCCAGGATGGCATGGCCCCTGGGCTCCCCGGATGGTCAGCCAGGACAAGCCCAGGCCCCAATCGGGGGCGTGCAGGAGGCAGCTGACGGGCGTTCCTCTCTCTAGCCCTCTCCCTCTCCAACAATAAAAACATATCTTAAAGAAGAACAGTGAAGCAAAGCTGAGCATCGTGGGTGGTGCATGTGCCATTCTGCACCAGTGCTCAGGGAGGGCCCCCACCTCCTGTTGGTTGACTCGAGCCCAAGTGAGGGGATAGCCCTGAGTCAGGCATCCCTGGAATGTTCTAGAACATCAAGGAGGCCAGAGTGGCCACAGCGACTTGCAAGGGGAGCCAGACCTCAGTGTGTGAAATTCCCATAAATCCCAGATCACCTGCGCCTCTAAATGGGATGTGGGAAATAGTGGGGTACAAGGACGGCGACATTAGCACAAGCAGTGACCTCAACAGACACTTTAGTAGGAATGGTAAACGGGTCACAAAGCTGGCCGTTTAAGACAACTTGATATGGGATGGGAATGAGGGAGGGGGAGCCAGCGGGCCTGGCAGACGCCTCCCGTGGATCCAACAGACGCAGGACTCGTGGACGTGGTGAGGGCCACCGGGAGGAACTCGGGCACTGCTGGTTAGCAAACGGGAAAAACAGAGCTTGCTCCCGACTTCCCAGCTTACCCCAAATAAACCACAGGTGAGCTCAAGGCCTTACATGTAAGAGTCTCATCCGAAAGGGGTGTTTCTTTAAAAACGAGAGGCGGGAGGAACACGTGGCACTATGAGGACATCACTGACCGTCACCTTTCTGTGCGATGCAGGAAAGCATGACATCGTTAAAGCGCACAGGTAGCCCGGCCGGCAGGGCTCGACCAGGAGGTCAGGGTTCGATTCCAGGTCAGGGCACAGGCCCGGGTTGCGGGCTCATCCCCAGTGCGGGGCGTGCAGGAGGCAGCCGGTCCATGACTCTCTCATCACTGATGTCTCTCTCTCTCTCCCTTCCTCCCTGCAATTGATATAAGTCTATTTAAAATCAAATAAAATGCACATGTACGATGAGGAAACCATGGGGCCTGTGGACGAGGCGAGAGCGTGTGCCCTTCCCGTGGCCCCAGCCTGGCCTTGGAGCCCCATCCCCACTCCCCTACCCCCCCATCCCCCACCCCCACCCCCACGGGCCTGAGCACCCTTCTGCCTGTGTGCCTGATGCTTGGCTCCCCACTGGGACCACCTCAGGCCCCACCCCATCTGCCTCCTCCACCCAATGAAGCGTCTGCCCAGCGCTACCCAGACCCACACCCCGTGATAGCCCACTGCACGGCTGGTGTGTTGGCCGCCATCTCTGGCACCTGGCACAGCCTGCCAGCTGGTCCTGTTTTCTGAGGAATGTGTCCTGAGCCACTGACCTGGGCGGGCAGGGCTCCGGGCTGCAGGCCTCCTGCAGCTCTGGCCGAGGCAGCCCCTGGCACTGGGTATCCGGCAGGATCTCCTCGCCCTCGTCCTGCCCGTGTGCCCGGGCACAATACAGGATCCTCCGCGCCACCCCACCCCCACAGCTCACGCTGCAGGCCGCCAGCTTGTACCGCCACCTGCGGCAAAGCGGAGTCAGGGGAGGACCCCGAGCAGCCAGGGGTCCCCTCCTTTCCCCACCAGGAGGGGCCCGCAGAGGCGCGCTCTCTGGGGGGTCACCCTACGTCTCCATGAGGGGCTGGCACAGTGGATGAGAACATCAGAAGAACCCATTTTACAGAAGGGGAAGAGGAGGACAGGTGTCCAAAGGCAGTGGGAGGGGGCAGGGCACCCCGGTCCTGTTAAGATGTCTGTGTCCAAAGGGATCCCAGCCTCTCCACCCCGGGGCCTGCCTCCCGCTGCCTTGGCCACGTGCACGATCACACCCGTCACTAGCCGTCTCCTGTCTGTCCGACTCATCGCCTGTTGCCCGTCCCCAGCATCTGCTTCGGGAAGGCAGGGGTGCTATCTGTCGGTTCAGTACTGTGACCCCTCATGCCATAGCAGTGCCTGGCACAGTGGGTGCTCAGTAAGGAGCAGGTGATGGCAAAACGAGCCATCCACCACGTGTGCCCACCGCACCCGGACCCGGGCCATGCGCTTTACCCACAGCCCCATGAAACCCCTTGGACCACCTGCCTCCTGGGGGAGGGCCCACCGGGCGGGGCAGCGCTCCGGGCTGTACTCCTCGAGGCGGCTGGGCCTGGGCGCCGGCCAGCACTTGGAGTGAGGCGGGGGGACGGAGCGTCCACGGTCCCGCCTCACACAGCGCACAGCCAGCGGCAGCTGCCCACCGCCACAGGTCACCGGGCACGGCCCCAAGGCGCGGGTCTCCCACCCGCAGGAGGCCACAGCCCAGGGCAAGAAGGGGACCAGGCTGCTGCCCCGTGCACAGTCTCCTTCCCCGCTCACCAAGCCGGGCACGGGGCAGCCTGGCAGACCTCCCGCCGGCTCCCCGGCTTGCTCGCCAGGTCACATAGCTCTTCCTGGACAGCTGTCCCCCAGGTGGAGTCCATGCACACGAAACGCAGCTCCGTCTGGCCTGCAGGGAGGAAGCAGGGACCCCGGGCCCAGGAGGAGGGCTCAGCCAGGACCACGGGTGCCGGCTCTGCCACTGACCAGCCGTGTGACCTTGGACAGCGACCTAACCTCTCTGAGCCTCAGGGTCTTCATATGCTGACGGCTCACTCGCAGGGATGTGTACAGGGACTTTCGAGGGGGAGTTACGAAGTGCCTGGCACAGAGTAGGTTTCCTGAGGGGCAGTCTGAGAACTGCTCTAAACACCCCTTACTGTGTTTGCCATCAACACATCGGGACCTTCCTCAAAAGAAACCTCTGGCTCCGTTCTGAACGCGCCGAGGCTGTCCTGAGCGGGGGGAGTTGCAGGCCGCTGTGTGTCTTTCATGTGTTTCTCTGGTTTGGCACCAGGAGCGCAGAGCTAGATGTGGGCCCGTCTCTCCCAGCTTCTCTGGGCCTCAGGACACAGGCTCTCGGTGCCAACGTGTCCTACGATCTTTTCTGTCTCGGATGATCACTGAACTGGTGCAGGGCTGTCTGCACTCTGCCCCAATCTCCTCGTACACTGGCACTTCCTCGCACAGCTGGAATTTTCTAGAAGCCACCCAAATGCTTTTTAGAGCTAAGCCAGATGCAGGCAGGCAAGAGCTAGCTAATGAGCTTGGGTGTTCAGGGGCCTCACCTCTGCCACAGGAGACGGAGCAGGGCCCCGTCAGGGGCGTCCACACGTGGGCAGCGCGAGCCCCCAGCCTGGGGCTGCCTGTTGCGGGTACAGCCTCCTCCCCCAGAGGCTGGGGGTCCGGCTGCAGGGGGCAAGCACCAAGCTGATGGGTCCGGGCACCCACCTCTGACCTCCACGCCCACCGTCCCGATCCCTCAGGAGAAAGAAGTGGTCACCAGCACCCCGGGGCCGTCCTCCCCCGCCCCTGCTGATCCTCCCCAGGGAGGCTCGCTTCCAGGCCCCCCGCGATGCTGTTGCCTCACCACACCCCGCCTTGGCCTCTGCATCAGTGTGAGGTCACTGTGGGCGGGGCTGAGGGAGTGGATTTGCCGCCCCTGCCTGTCGGTCCCCAACCCCGAGCGGACAGGGTTGGCCAGCACCTTGTGTGAAAGCAGCAGCACCAGCCTCGAGCCCTGGACGCCAGGGGGAGCCTGGCAGCTTTCCTCCGTGCAGCTCCCTAACAGGGCCTGGCCCCCTGAGCCCGGCTTGCCCGGGAAGGGGCTGCCCGGGGGCCCAGAGCAGTTCCTACGCGTATCTCGGGCCGGGCTCCGGCAGAGGCAGTGCTGCAGGACAGTCCTCGCACTCTGGCCGGGAGGCCAACGGTAACCAGCGCTCCCCATTCTCCCAGCCCGACAAGCGCCCAAGAGCCCAGCCACCCCCAAGCCCAGGACACTCACAGGGCCCCAGCCCGGAGGACATGCCACCTCCACGCAGGGCTCGAGGGCAGCTGGCATTCGGTCCGCGGAGCAGGGCCCGGCGGTCGCTGGCGCCTCCAGGCCGCCCGCCCCCTGCGCGCATGTGACATTCTGTGCGGCCAGGTCCGCTCCACAGGCCAACGGGCACACGTCCGACACCTCCCACCTGACAGCCCAGGACAGCCATCAGGCCCTGCCCCTGCCATCGGCGCAGCCTGGCCACCGGGGCAGGGAGAACCTGCTCCCCAATATCCAAGAACCCAAAGAGGGGCCCCACAAAGAAGCAAGCCCGGGCCTCTCCCTGAAGGGCCGGCCGCTGGCTGCGGACACTGCACTGGGCACCAGGGGCAGAGACACAGGCCCCACCGCCTGTTCCCAGAGGCGAAGGGGGGGCCTCTGCCAGGTAACCAGGTGCTCCCACTGCCCAGCCGGTGTCAGCTGCAACCGGGTCACCAGGTCAGGGACAGGGAATCGCTTCAGGAGGGTGCCAGCCCGAGGGGCAGCGGCTGCCTGGGTGTGTGCTGGGGAGGACTGTGAGGCAGGATCAGCCCTCGGTGGGAAGAGTGGTGGTCGCTGTGTCCGCTGTGGACGCGAGAGGGGAAAGGAGCCTGGCCACGTGTGGGCCACCAGGACTCAAGGGACGGGTAACGAAACGGGGGCCCTGGGCACCCAGCCGGTGGGCAGCAAATCAGAGTGATAGGTCACTGCCAGCAGGACACAGCAGCGACCACAGTGACGAGAAGTGGCATTTATTGCTTTCCTTTCGTGGCCTCGCTTGGGCCTCACAGCCCCTCCCTGAGCAGGGCCCCAGAGGTTCAGAGAGAAGTGTGTGCAGGTCTCCGGGGCAGGGAATCTGGAGCTGGAACTCCTAGGCCTGGGCCGGCCCTGCCCGTCACCGGGATGGCAGCGCCTGGCTAGAGGCCTGGGGAACGGGGCATTGGGGGGGCCGGGCGCAGCGCAGGGACAAGCCCTGGCAGGGAGAACCTGCCCCACCCCGCGCTCACCTGGGGGGGCAGGGCTGGGAGCTGCAGGTTTCCACCATCGCGGGCTTCTGGGCCAGCGCTGCGCACCGGGCAGGGGGCAGCGTCCTCAGGCGGGGGCCCAGGGCCTGCACGCAGCGCACCGCCCGCTCCCGCAGGCCTGTCCCGCAGGAGGTGCTGCAGGGGCCGAAGTCTCCAGCTGCCCAGCTGAGGAGAGAGCGGCAGAGTAGGGCCCTGCCAGGTGCTGGATTGGCTTGGGGGGTTGGGGGGGGGGCGCGGAGCAGGCAGATCTGTCCAGCTGACTCGCTGCCCTGGGTTGAGCTGGGCATGTGTCCCTTCAGGTACGCAGACATGGCCGGCCAGCCCGCTCCAGCTCTCCAGGTCCCCACCGTCACCTGAGGCTGAGGACACCTGCAGAAGGTGCAGGCGGGCGGCTGCCCAGCCCTGCACCCAGGAGGGACCGCCTTGCCTCTAACGCAGCGGTTCTCAACCTGTGGGTTGCGACCTTTGGCGGTCGAACGACCCCTTCACAGAGGTCGCCTAAGACTATCCTGCATATCAGATATTTACATGACGATTCATAACAGTAGCAACATGACAGTTATGAAGTAGCAACGAAAATAATTGTAAAAAAATAAATAAAATAATTGTATGGTTGGGTCACAACATGAGGAACTGTATTTAAAGGGCCAGAAGGTTGAGAACCACTGCTCTAACGTTATGCTCCCACCAACCACACCTGCCTGGGCCCGCGACGGCGATGGCCAGGGACTTTCCGTCAGCTGCTCTCCGTGGCTGCCTCCGAGCCGCCCACAGCCCGCCCAGCTAGGTGATCACCCCCACGTACAGTGACCACCTGCACTCAGGGCGCGTGTTCCGCCGCAGACAGGTGCACCAGGTGGGTCACCGACGCCTTGTCTGCCTGCGGCTCAGTGTCCTCTCCTGCAGCGCGGGACGCTGCAGCGCGGAGCCTCCAGGGCTATGTGAGAGCACACACAGAGGCACCCTGCCCATCCCAGGCGGCGTGGGCCCCAGGACCCAGGGGAGAGCCCCACAGACGGCACTCACTATGGGGGACAAGCCCCGGGGGTGCAGGGCTCCGGCCAGGCCGCCGGCTGCGGGCTCCCTGCGCACCGGGCAGCCTCCACCCACTGGTTCCTGGCCTGGTCCAGGCAGCTGTAGGTCACCCATCGCAGCCCTGGGAAGAAAGAGGGAGGCGAGGCCACCTCCATGCAGGGGGCAAGCCAGGCTGGGGCCCGCCCTGCCCCGGGCCTCACCTGCCCCACAGCTCACCGAGCAGGCCCCCCGAGTGGCAGCCCACGCCCAGGCCCGCAGCTTAGGCTGGAAGTAGGTGAAGGTGACGTGCGGGCGGGTGGCGTTGCCATACTCCTCGCCATAGCGCCTGTACACCTGCAGGAGACGGGCGCACGGGGCCTCACCCAGGGGCTCCCTGGGGGTCGCTGCCACCGCCACCTCCTAGAGGCCGTTCTTCCACTCAGCAAGCAACCATGCAGGTGGCCGCACCCAGGTTCTGGGCACAGCACGGCGAGCGGGACCCTGTCGCAGCCTCCAGGAGCTCGAGGTGGGATGGGGTGGGGTGGGGTGGTGACAGATAACCCTACAGGGCCTGGTGGGGGCAGGACAGCAGCCTGAAAGGTGTCACAGGCTCTAGGTGGAGCAGGGGTGGGGCATGGAGCAGACACGGGAGACAAGGCCTCGGGCAGAGGGGAGCCCAGCACGGGCCTGGGGTGAGATCAGAAGAGATGAGACCCGGGGGGGGGGAGGGGGGCAGCCGGAAGGGGTGGTCACTCCTTAAGCATGCTTCCACTCCAGGAGGCAGGACTGCGACCCCATTCCACAGGGGAGGAGACCGAGGCCTCTGACGTCAGCATTGGCCAGACCGGCCTTCCCGACTGTGTCGCTCCTCCACCCCCCTGGGCCAGGCCTGACCCAGGCCCCTCCCAACTCCAACTGCAGGGCCCCTCAGCCCCTGGACACCCAGGAGGAAGCCCAGACTCCGCCCATGGCCAGGAAGCCCCTCGAGGTCTGCCCCGCCCTCTAGCCTTCTTACCTGGGGTCCCCTTCCTTCAGCCCCCTAAGCACCCCTCCTGTGCTCGCAGGTTCCCTAGAGACACTGCCCGCTGGCTGGCCTGGGCACCAGCTCCTCCAGGCCCAGCCCCGCCGCCCTCCGGGGGCAGCCCCTGGGCCTGCCCGGCTCTCCGGCCACCCACTCAGCACCAGGGGCTCCGTATGAGCGAGCGACTGAGCAGCTGGTCACCTGGATCTCCATGTCTTCCTGGGTGGGGCCCGGGATGGAGATCTCCTCCAGGCGGGGCAGCCGGTCCTCGGCGAGGGTCACTCTGTACTCGATGCGGCTGTCCTCCAGGAGGGAGGGGTGGCTGGTGCTGGGGGAGATGCTGAAATTCCCAGCCACCACGTAGCGCCCGCGGATCCTCACCGCTGGGGGGAGCGAGGCCTGTCAGCACATCAGAGCCCCAACCCCCCACCTAGGAGGGGGCACCACCCTTTCACAGAGGAGGCCCAGGTTTAAGGAATCGGCCAACAGGTTGTCGTCTCCGTGGCCACACCTGCAACCGTCCTCCTCCGGGTCCCCAGCCCCAGGAGCGGGTCCCCCGCGTCTCTGCAGGCACCCCTCCAGGTGCACACCGGGGCTGCCCCAGGCTTCCTCGCAGCGTCAACTCCGCGCCTCCTCCAGAACCTGGGGAGCACCAGGGCCTGCTCCCCACCACGCACACCCACGCGAGCTCTACGGGCCGGTTCAGGAGCTCAGGGACCCTGGTAGGGCCCCAATCTGGGTTCAAAGGCCCCCGCTCTGGGTTCCCAGGTGTGGGCTACCCTGGACACACAGCCCCAGGGAGACTGGGGAGTAAAGAAGTTGGCCTTGCCCAATAACAGGGAGGGGGCCTAGTCAGCCGGGGGGAGTCTTTAAGGAGGGGCCTGGCCCACCAAAGACCAAACACGTGGTTCCGGGGCCTTGGGTCACAGAGCCTGAGTCAGCCTGGAGACAGGCCATTCATGTGAGCGCTCAATTGATCCATCAGTCAATACCGATCAGGCCTACATAACGACGCCCCAGTAGAAACGGGCAGGGAGCCTGGGTGGGCAATACTCCATGCCCACCAGCTGGACGCTGGCCCAGAGCCCCGACTCTGCCCTGGCGTCTCCTCTGGCTGGTTTACTCTGTCCTTCCCCGTTTCCACCGTGACCCTAACAGCTGAGTCTGGGGGTCCCAGTGAGCTGTCCAATCTGGTGGTGGTTTGGGGAACCCCGACCTCTACGTTGGCGTCAGCAGTGCGGGCATCTTGGGGACCGTGCCCTCCACCTTCGAGGTTGGGCGAATTCTGGTGAGCCCTCCGCCAACTCACCCAGGTGTGTGAAGAGAGGCCTGTGGTTGGCGATGTGCACCCTGGTCAGGTTGGGAGTCAGCGTCAGGAACGTGACGTACTCTAGGAGGGAGCAGAGGGCTGAGACCCCGCCCCACCGCAGGCCAGGGGCGGGTTCGGCACCAAGAACAGGCCCCACAGCGCCAGCCTCACTGCGGGCGCCCCAGGCAGGCGCAGGCCTTGGCGGGCAATCGGGCGGGTGGAGGGCCACCTGTGGGGGAGCCGCCCGGGAGGGGGGAGGGGTGGGACCTGCCAGAGGGAGGTGGAATCAGTCCTCCACTGACCCTCTAGCCCAGTGGTTCTCAACCTTCTGGCCCTTTAAATACAGCTCCTCATGCTGTGACCCAACCATAAAAGTATTTTCGTTGCTACTTCATACCTGTCATGTTGCTACTGTGATGAATCATCATGTAAATATCTGATATGCAGGATGGTCTTAGGCGACCGCCGTGAAAGGGTCGTTCGACCGCCAAAGGGCTCGCGACCCACAGGTTGAGAACCGCTGCTCTAAGCAATGGCTTTGCAAACCACAGCAGATTCCTAACGTCTGGCACAGTGGGCGGTGGAGGCTCCAGGGCGGAGCCAACGTGTGGGTCCCCACCCTGCCTGCCCCCGCCTGGGCTGCCGGGGCTTCTCGGGGGCGGGGGGCCGGCCCCTACCTCGGGCTCTTCCGCCCATGAAAGAGCCGCTCTGCGGGCTGCACGTGCTGTTGTCCCCTCCACACACCTGGCACTCGTCCGGCACCTGCCGGGAGTCCATCCTGCCGTCACAGCCGAACGTCTGCACAAAGGGGGTGGCAGGGGCGCCCGGGCTGCGTGTCACTGGAGGGGCAGCCCCACTGGCTCTCAGAGTCACATGACAAACGGGGCTGCGTACAGAGCATCTGAGGCCCCTTCCGGAGACGAGCTTAAACGGCCGCCCCAGTTCGCAGCGCAGCTCTCAACCCTGCTGACCCCAAGGTCGCCCCGAGTCCCCTCCTCATCCCGCGAGGCGGCTGCTGCTTCAGGGGCCCGCCCCGACTGGCCTCGCCCGGGAGGCCGTGTTCGGCTTTGCTGGGACAGGCCCGGGGGCCACAGGGGACGGAGAGGCGCCCGCCGCCTGCACACGCCTACCCTGCAGCTGCCCGACACGCACAGGCTGAGGGTCCCGTCCTCCCGCGGGCCGCTTGGCACACACCGGGTGCCGTCCCGGAAGCTGTCCCCACGCCGCATGATGAAGCTCTCTCCGATGGCCCGGCACATGTGTCTGCACAGAGCGTCCCCTGGGGAGGCAGAGGGACAGGAATGCTGATGCAGGGGCGGGGTGGGGGCAGGGAGGGCGGTGACCCGGGAAGCAGGCTCCAGGCGCCCTCGCCCTGCCAGCCCCACCGCTTCACCCGCTGCTCATGGGCCAGGGTGTATGTTCCTCCCGAGGCGGCCTAGCAACCAGCAGGCAACACGTGCAGCTGAGCCAGGAGTCGAGGGCACACCCGGCGCCCCCCCACACACACACACACACCTCACTGTGCCCCCAGCAGCTGAGCTGGGAGCCAGGACTCGCAGGAGACCCCTCCCAGGGCCGAGCCAGGACGCTCCCTGCACTGATGCACAGCCTGCGCCTGCTGTCCACCGCGGGGAGCCATGGTGGCCGTGGTTCTCCCGCCCACACCGCTCCCCGGGCAGCCCCGGGCCCCACCTTGACTGTGAGGCACAGCTGGGCCCCAGCGGTAGGAGGAGGCATTGCCTGGGGAAAGGCCCAGCGGCCGCCCCTCGGTCTCCGCACACTGCTCAGCCATGAACGCCAGCTGGGTGGTCTCGCAGGCCTGCCAGATAGGGCAGGGGACAGGCATGGAGGCTGGGGTGGGGGTTTGGGCAGGGTCCCGGGCTTGGGGGCTAGGGCAGGGGGCCCAGGGCAGGGGGGCTCAGGGCAAGGGATCCCGGGCTTGGGGGCTAGGGCAGGGGGCCCAGGGCAGGGGGCCTAGGGCAGGGGGGCTCAGGGCAGGGGGGCTCAGGGCAGGGGGTCCCAGGCTTGGGGGCTAGGGCAGGTGGCCCAGGGCTGGGGGCCCTTGCACCTGGGGACAGGGAGGCACCCTGAGTGTGAGGCCATGAGGAGGGTTTGAGCCTGGCTCCTGGCTGCACCTGTTCCCCGCTCTGTAAAATGGGGGTGACAGGAGCCTTTTTCTGCCGATGGGGAATTCCAGGAGCATTTGTGAGGACACGGGGCAGAGGGAGCGGGAAAAGAACACCGCTCAGGCCCAGGGCCCGATCCGCAGAGGTCAGGGTCTGGGCCATTCACAGGCAGCCTCTAGAGGCCGTGTCAGAAAAGGCCAGGGAAGGCTTCACCAAGAGCCTCGACGGGAGGCGTCGGAGAGAAAAGGCTCAGAGCGGACCGGCCGGCGGAGTGGACCGGTTGAGCGGGACACAGCCCTCAGCTGCCCCCACACCCCCTCCCCCACCTCGGGCCCAGGTGAGGGCTCCCTGCAGGTCTGGCCCCCAGTGGCCGCCAGGAGAAGGTGGGAGGGCAGCTCTCAGACCTTAACATCAAAGAGATCAGTCCCTGCTTCACACCCGCTGTGATGGCCGTGACCAAAACCTGGACAGCCGGCCCTGACCGGTGGCTCAGTTGGTTGGCGCGCCATTCCACACCCCGGAAAATGATGCATGTGATTCCCCGTCAGGGCACATGCCCAGGTGTTGAGTTCAACCCCCAAGTCGGGGCGTGTATGGGAGGCAACTGATCAGTGTTTCTCTCACATCGATGTTTCTCTTCTCTCTTCCTTCCTCGCTCTAAAATCAATAAAAACATATCCTCCGGCGAGGATTAAAAAATAAAACCAAACCTGGACAGGAAGTGCCGAGCGCGTGTGGAGCCCCCACACCTGCCGTGGGCACCAGCGGGGCCGGCTGCTGGGGGTGCAGTTTGGAGCCTCCTCAGAGATCATGCAGTATTTCTGCTGTGAGCCACACACCCCAGCCGCCCTGGCCCCCTGGGGCCCTGCCCGGGAAGCCGGCCTACCTGGGTGTTGCACATCTCGGCCTGAAGGTCAGCACCTGTGCAAGCACGCCCCCCAAAGGCAGGTCTGAAAACGCCCGGAGACAGTGGTGAGAGGTGACCCACAGACCCCAACCAGGGCAAGTGCAGCCCCCGCCCACCCCCCCCACCCCCCCCCCCCCGGCCCCTTCCATCCCGCACCTGGGGTTGTTGCACTGCCGCCTCCTGGTGACCACGCCTCCTCCGCAGGAGCGGGAGCAAGGACTGGGGGGACCCCAAGCTGACCAGTGCCCGTGCACCGCCTCCAAGGAGGTCAGCTCTGCCAGGGAGCGGCAGCGGCCCTTGGAGCACCACTGCAAGGAACGACAGCCAATCTGCCGCCCCACGGGCACCACACCCACACCCACACCCACACCCACAGGCACCAAGCACAGCTCCAGGGCCCTCGCCCTGGCGCCCTGTCTCCTGCCCCAGGAATAAGGGCTGCCAGGCTGCAGGTGGCCTGCGCAAGCATGTGTGAGCACATCCACACTCACACACGCATGCACACACTCATGCTCATGCACGCACACGCTCACACACACTCATGCTCATGCACGCACACGCTCACACACACTCATGCTCATGCATGCACACACTCACACCATGCTCATGCACGCACACGCTCACACACACTCATGCTCATGCACGCACACACTCACACCATGCTCATGCACGCACACGCTCACACACACTCATGCTCATGCACGCACACGCTCACACACTCATGCTCATGCACGCACACACTCACACCATGCTCATGCACGCACACACTCACACACACTCATGCTCATGCACGCACACGCTCACACACACTCATGCTCATGCACGCACATGCTCACACACACTCATGCTCATGCACGCACACGCTCACACACTCATGCTCATGCACGCACACGCTCACACACTCATGCTCATGCACGCACACGCTCACACACACTCATGCTCATGCACGCACACGCTCACACACTCATGCTCATGCACGCACACACTCACACACTCATGCTCATGCACGCACACGCACACACACACTCATGCTCATGCACGCACACGCTCACACACACTCATGCTCATGCACGCACACGCTCACACACTCATGCTCATGCACGCACACACTCACACCATGCTCATGCACGTACACACTCACACACTCATGCTCATGCACGCACACGCTCACACACTCATGCTCATGCACGCACACGCTCACACACTCATGCTCATGCACGCACACGCTCACACACTCATGCTCATGCACGCACACGCTCACACACTCATGCTCATGCACGCACACACACACACTCATGCTCATGCACGCACACGCTCACACACACTCATGCTCATGCACGCACACACACACTCATGCTCATGCACGCACACGCTCACACACACTCATGCTCATGCACGCACACGCTCACACACACTCATGCTCATGCACGCACACGCTCACACACTCATGCTCATGCACGCACACGCTCACACACACTCATGCTCATGCACGCACACACTCACACACTCATGCTCATGCACGCACACGCTCACACACACTCATGCTCATGCACGCACACGCTCACACACTCATCCTCATCCACGCACACACTCACACCATGCTCATGCACGCACACGCTCACACACACTCATGCTCATGCACGCACACACTCACACACTCATGCTCATGCACGCACACGCTCACACACACTCATGCTCATGCACGCACACACTCACACACACTCATGCTCATGCACGCACACGCTCACACACTCATGCTCATGCACGCACACGCTCACACACACTCATGCTCATGCACGCACACGCTCACACACACTCATGCTCATGCACACACACGCTCACACACTCATGCTCATGCACGCACACACTCACACCATGCTCATGCACGCACACGCTCACACACTCATGCTCATGCACGCACACACACACACTCATGCTCATGCACGCACACGCTCACACACACTCATGCTCATGCACGCACACACACACACTCATGCTCATGCACGCACACGCTCACACACACTCATGCTCATTCACGCACACACACACACTCATTCTCATTCACTCACACTCTCACACACACTCATGCTCATGCACGCACACACTCACACACTCATGCTCATGCACGCACACGCTCACACACACTCATGCTCATGCACGCACACGCTCACACACTCATGCTCATGCACGCACACGCTCACACACTCATGCTCATGCACGCACACACTCACACACTCATGCTCATGCACGCACACGCTCACACACACTCATGCTCATGCACGCACACGCTCACACACACTCATGCTCATGCACGCACACACTCACACACTCATGCTCATGCACGCACACGCTCACACACACTCATGCTCATGCACGCACACGCTCACACACACTCATGCTCATGCACGCACACACTCACACCATGCTCATGCACGCACACGCTCACACACTCATGCTCATGCACGCACACGCTCACACACTCATGCTCATGCACGCACACACTCACACACTCATGCTCATGCACGCACACGCTCACACACACTCATGCTCATGCACGCACACGCTCACACACTCATGCTCATGCACGCACACTCTCACACACTCATGCTCATGCACGCACACACTCACACACTCATGCTCATGCACGCACACGCTCACACACACTCATGCTCATGCACGCACACGCTCACACACACTCATGCTCATGCACGCACACGCTCACACACACTCATGCTCATGCACGCACACACTCACACACACTCATGCTCATGCACGCACACACTCACACCATGCTCATGCACGCACACGCTCACACACTCATGCTCATGCACGCACACGCTCACACACACTCATGCTCATGCACGCACACGCTCACACACTCATGCTCATGCACGCACACGCTCACACACTCATGCTCATGCACGCACACACTCACACACTCATGCTCATGCACGCACACGCTCACACACACTCATGCTCATGCACGCACACGCTCACACACTCATGCTCATGCACGCACACGCTCACACACACTCATGCTCATGCACGCACACACTCACACACACTCATGCTCATGCACGCACACACTCACACCATGCTCATGCACGCACACGCTCACACACTCATGCTCATGCACGCACACGCTCACACACACTCATGCTCATGCACGCACACGCTCACACACTCATGCTCATGCACGCACACGCTCACACACTCATGCTCATGCACGCACACACTCACACACTCATGCTCATGCACGCACACGCTCACACACACTCATGCTCATGCACGCACACGCTCACACACTCATGCTCATGCACGCACACGCTCACACACACTCATGCTCATGCACGCACACACTCACACACTCATGCTCATGCACGCACACGCTCACACACACTCATGCTCATGCACGCACACGCTCACACACACTCATGCTCATGCACGCACACGCTCACACACACTCATGCTCATGCACGCACACACACACACACACTCATGCTCATGCACGCACACACTCACACACTCATGCTCATGCACGCACACGCTCACACACACTCATGCTCATGCACGCACACGCTCACACACACTCATGCTCATGCACGCACACACTCACACACTCATGCTCATGCACGCACACGCTCACACACACTCATGCTCATGCACGCACACACTCACACACACTCATGCTCATGCACGCACACACTCACACACTCATGCTCATGCACGCACACGCTCACACACTCATGCTCATGCACGCACACGCTCACACACACTCATGCTCATGCACGCACACGCTCACACACTCATGCTCATGCACGCACACGCTCACACACTCATGCTCATGCACGCACACGCTCACACACTCATGCTCATGCACGCACACACTCACACACTCATGCTCATGCACGCACACGCTCACACACACTCATGCTCATGCACGCACACGCTCACACACTCATGCTCATGCACGCACACGCTCACACACACTCATGCTCATGCACGCACACACACACACTCATGCTCATTCACGCACACGCTCACACACACTCATGCTCATGCACGCACACGCTCACACACACTCATGCTCATGCACGCACACGCTCACACACACTCAGGCTCATGCACGCACACACACACACACACTCATGCTCATGCACGCACACACTCACACCATGCTCATGCACGCACACGCTCACACACTCATGCTCATGCACGCACACACTCACACACACTCATGCTCATGCACGCACACGCTCACACACTCATGCTCATGCACGCACACGCTCACACACACTCATGCTCATGCACGCACACACTCACACACTCATGCTCATGCACGCACACGCTCACACACACTCATGCTCATGCACGCACACGCTCACACACACTCATGCTCATGCACGCACACACTCACACACTCATGCTCATGCACGCACACGCTCACACACACTCATGCTCATGCACGCACACACTCACACCATGCTCATGCACGCACACGCTCACACACACTCATGCTCATGCACGCACACACTCACACCATGCTCATGCACGCACACGCTCACACACTCATGCTCATGCATGCACACGCTCACACACACTCATGCTCATGCACGCACACGCTCACACACTCATGCTCATGCACGCACACGCTCACACACACTCATGCTCATGCACGCACACGCTCACACACACTCATGCTCATGCACGCACACGCTCACACACACTCATGCTCATGCACGCACACGCTCACACACACTCATGCTCATGCACGCACACACTCACACACACTCATGCTCATGCACGCACACACTCACACACTCATGCTCATGCACGCACACACTCACACACACTCATGCTCATGCACGCACACGCTCACACACACTCATGCTCATGCACGCACACGCTCACACACACTCATGCTCATGCACGCACACACTCACACACTCATGCTCATGCACGCACACACTCACACACACTCATGCTCATGCACGCACACGCTCACACACACTCATGCTCATGCACGCACACACTCACACCATGCTCATGCACGCACACGCTCACACACACTCATGCTCATGCACGCACACACTCACACCATGCTCATGCACGCACACGCTCACACACACTCATGCTCATGCACGCACACACTCACACCATGCTCATGCACGCACACGCTCACACACTCATGCTCATGCATGCACACGCTCACACCATGCTCATGCACGCACACACTCACACACTCATGCTCATGCACGCACACGCACACACTCACACCATGCTCATGCACGCACACACTCACACACTCATGCTCATGCACGCACACGCTCACACACACTCATGCTCATGCACGCACACGCTCACACACTCTCATGCTCATGCACGCACACACTCACACACTCATGCTCATGCACGCACACGCTCACACACACTCATGCTCATGCACGCACACACTCACACACTCATGCTCATGCACACACGCTCACACTCGCTCTCCCGCCTCCCTCGCTCCTGCTGACCTTCTGGGGGCCGCACTCGGTCCCGTCCAGGAGCGGGAAGAGGAGGCGGCTGCAGCTGCTGAGGTCCAGGGGGTCTGTGTGGCAGGAGAGCGCCTGGCACGCGTCCTGAGGAGACACAGGTGGCGTCACCGGCCGCGGGGCCGGTCAGGTCCGTGCCCAGCCTCACTGTCCTCTCGGCAGCGGGGCAGGGACAGCCACACGCCCTGTGGCCCTGGCGGCGGGAGGAGGGACAGTGGCCGTGAAAATGTTTTCCTTTCTTTTAAAATCAGAAGAAAAAACATAAGCTCTCAGGTCAGAGATGAGGTTCCATCCTGTCCCATCGTCTGTCCGCGTTCACACCAGCACGCAGGGCGCACGCGCTTTATGGCACTAAGATCACCCTCAGTGTTTTCTAAGGAGGAAGGGCCACCGCGGCCAGTCAGCCCTGGGAGGAAGTCTGTCTGGGAGCTGCCCTCACCCCGCCTCCTGCCACCGCGCTCGCACTGTGGGGTTCGGCGGGACCCCCTCCTCTGGCAGGCCCTCCAGCTCCACTGGGCTGGCAGCCCTTGGTCCTGCCTACTTAGGATCCAAGTCCATGGGCTCAGGCCCTGCCAGGCTGGCTCTGTGATGGTGGGGCCCCCTCTCAACGAAAATGTGGCGTCCTTGCCCCAAAATTAAGACAGTCTGGCGCAGGGCGCCCACTGTGCACACTGGGGCCTGAGCCGGGCGGAGGGAGCTGCTGGGGTGGGCGGAGGAGCCCTGGAAGGGAGAGGAGCCCCGGGAGGGGGGGAGAGCCCTGGGAGGGGGAGGAGCCCCAGGAGCGGCGGAGGAGCCCTGGGAGGGGGAGGAGCCCCCGGAGGCGGAGGCGGGGAGAGCCCTGGGAGGGGGAGGAGCCCCCGGAGGCGGAGGAGACCCCGGGAGGGGGAGGAGACCCCGGGAGGAGGGGAGAGCCCTGGGAGGGGAAGCTGGGCGCAGCGCTGCCAGACTCACCAGGCTCCCCGGGGTGAAGGTGCAGGCCACGGCGGAAGGCCCGAAGGCCACGCGGCACTGCTCGTCCGCGCCGTAGTAGAGACCTGGGTGGGCCTGGGGAGGGCGCCCCGCAGGCCCGGACTGCGGACCCGGCGGGTCCCACACGCAGCGCGCCCGTCCTTCGCTGTGACAAGACCCCTGGCTCAGGCCCCGGGTGGGGTGGGACAGAGGGGGGGCTCAGGTGGGGGGACAGTTCTCAGCCCCTGCTCCCCACCATGAGCGGAGGCGGGGCTGGGACAAGGCTCAGCTCTAAGCGCGGTAGAGGCCGTGAGAGCAGAGGGGGGGCTGCGGAGGGCTCATGGAGGGGGAGCAGGCGGGGGATCATGGAGGGGGCCTGCGGAGGGCTCATGGAGGGGGAGCAGGCAGGGGATCAGAGCAGGGGAGGCAGGTGCAGGTTGGACTCGGGGAGGGGAGGGGACCGAGAGGCGGGTGCGCGCAGGGATGGGGCGATGGGGAGAACTGCAGGGTCGCGCAGGAATGGGGTGGCGGAGGATGGAGGGGTGCGCTACCTGAGCAGGTGCAGCAGCTGCCGGCGGCTGCAGGGGGACCATGCGAGGCCCCCTGGGGTGGGCGCGGCGCCGTCAGTCCCCATCACGTGGCCGTGGGGCCCGCACCCGCTGCCGCTGCCGGGTGCGCCGTCGTGCTCCAGGCCGAAGCTGCGAGGAGGCGGAGGCGGCGCTGAGAGCGGCCCGGCCCGGCGGGCAGGGTCCCGTCCTGCCCAGTAGGGCCCCCTGGCCCTGCCACCAGCTAACTCCCCAGGGAAGCGAGTCACGTGGCCGCCCTGCCTCCGTTTCCCGCCAAGCCTGCCCTTGCTGGTTGACCAATATCAGGAGGCGGTAGAGAACCAACCCGGGTGTTAGAAGCCTGGGGAGGACGGGACCCAGGGCCCTGGGCGCCCCCCGCCATCAGGTTCTTGACCGGGGGGCTGGCTGTCAAATGCAGGCTGTGCAGTGAGAGTCAATAGAACGTCCCAGAGGGTGTGCGGACCTCTGACCAGCCTTCCTCTCCCGGCGGGAGGCAGCGTTCCACACCCCTTCCCTCCAAACAAGGGGGGGGGGGGGCTGATGGGGAAGGAGGTGAAGATGCAGGGAGGACACCGAGCTGTTGTGTGTGTGGGGGGGGGGGGGGGACAGCTCCAGCCTCTGGGGGCCTGGGTCGCCCACAGCAATGGGGATGGGGGGGTCCGCAGAAGCCCTCAGAGGGGCTGAAGGGGGGCAGGCGAGCAAGGAAGAGAATAGACTCATCTTTTACCGGAGGAATCTCAGCACTACTTCCTTTCATTTTAAAGGACTGAAAGTCAGCCCTAACCGGTTTGGCTCAGTGGATAGAGTGATGGCCTGCGGACTCAAGAGTCCCAGGTTCGATTCCGGTCAAGGGCATGTACCTTGGCTGCAGGCACATCCCTAGTAGGGGGTGTGCAGGAGGCAGCTGATCGATGTTTCTAACTCTCTATCCCTCTCCCTTCCTCTCTGTAAAAAATCAATGAAATATATTTTTAAAAAATAAAAATAAAAATCATCATTCTCCCCTTAAAAAAAAAAAGGACTGAAAGTCAGCAAGGAAAGACCCCCCACCCCACCCAGGTCGGTGATGTCGGGAGGAGCAGAGATTGGCCCACAAGACGGGTCATGTTCACAAGCGGGTAAACCTGGAAACAACCTGAATATCCAAACGGGACCAATTACCTAAGTGATGGCGCACAAGACATTTTAAAAGACCTGGAGGCATGTCGGGAGAAGTACACTGTTGCATGAAAAAGCAGGTAACAGCTGTGTGCGGCGGCTCCCTGGTTGGAGCGTGTCCCGCACACCAAGAGGTTTTGGGTTCGATTCCCGGTCAGGGCACATACTTAGGTTGCAGGTTCAATCCCGGGTTGAGGCGTGTACAGGAGGCAACCGATCGATGTTTCTCTCACATCAGTGTTTCTCTCTCTCTCCCTTCCTCTCTACAAATCAATAAAAACATACCTTCAGGTGAGGATTTAAAAAGAGAAGCTGGTACCAAACCAATATACAGTATAATCCTAATTTTGCAAATAAAAAACTGTGTGTGTAAATTAAAGACTAAAGTTAAATATTAACTACGAACAAATGCTATCTCTAGGTGGTGGGGTTGGGGTAATTTTTACAGCTTAGTTTTTCTTTACCTGAATTTCCAATAAACCTCCGTTTCTAATTGCTAGGTCTATTTAGCTTGTGTTTTTTTTAAATCTCCTTTAGTTACTCAGTAATCATGAAGTATCCAGTTTCCCAGCCCCTGCCCCCCCTCCCTGGTCCACGGGGGTCAAGGGCACAGGCTCCTTCCCGCGTTCAGGGCTCCCTGCCAGCCTCCACCTCCCCTCCTGGGGGCCCGGGTCAGCTCCTTGGCCTGACCGTGGGGGCCGCTGTGGGGCCACATACCTGTGCCCGACCTCGTGGGCAATGGTGACCCCCAGGTCGAAGCCGGTATCTTCAGTGATGAGGCAGCTCCACGAGGAGGAGCAGGCGCCCCCCAGCTGGGTGACCCCCCGAACCTGCCGGTTGCCATCGGGCAGCTCCAGGTCAAACCTTGGGAACAGAATAGACACACGTGGGGCCCAGCGCCTCTGCAAACCCGCTGAGATGCCCGCCGCCCCGGGCCTGTGCGGGAGCAGCGCCCAGAGGCGGGCCTGTGCGGGAGCAGCGCCCAGAGGCGGGCCTGTGCGGGAGCAGCGCCCAGAGGCGGGCCTGTGCGGGAGCAGCGCCCAGAGGCGGGCCTGTGCGGGAGCAGCGCCCAGAGGCGGGCCTGCACGGGGAGCAGCGCCCAGAGGCGGGCCTGCACGGGGAGCAGCGCCCAGAGGCGGGCCTGCACGGGGAGCAGCGCCCAGAGGCGGGCCTGTGCGGGAGCAGCGCCCAGAGGCGGGCCTGCACGGGGAGCAGCGCCCAGAGGCGGGCCTGTGCGGGAGCAGCGCCCAGAGGCGGGCCTGTGCGGGAGCAGCGCCCAGAGGTGGGCCTGTGCGGGAGCAGCGCCCAGAGGCGGGCCTGTGCGGGAGCAGCGCCCAGAGGCGGGCTACCTGGTGACGTAGAGGACCAGGTCGGCGTGCGCGGGGTCCGCGTCGTCCGGGGGGTTGACCGTCCTGCTCCACTCGCAGACGCTCAGCAGTGACGCGGTGATGTTGGCTGTGAGCTGTGGGGCGTCCTGGGCAGCAGTGGGGGAGCCCGCGGTTACTGGGCCCACCCACAGGCATCTCGGCCCGCACGGCCTGTCACTGTCCGCGGCAGGCACAGGTGCGGGCGCGCGGGGGCCCGGGCGGGTGGCCTGGAAGCCCCGCCGGCACCCAGGCGCTGGGCAGCAGGGCGGGGCGGAGAGGACAGGACGGTCTGCAGGGGCGCTGGGCAGCAGGGAGGGGCGGAGAGGACAGGACGGGCCTGCAGGGGCGCTGGGCAGCAGGGAGGGGCGGAGAGGACAGGACGGGCCTGCAGGGGCGCTGGGCAGCAGGGAGGGGCGGAGAGGACAGGACGGGCCTGCAGGGGCGCTGGGCAGCAGGGAGGGGCGGAGAGGACAGGACTGGTCTGCAGGGGCGCTGGGCAGCAGGGAAGGGCGGAGAGGACAGGACAGGTCTGCAGAGGTGCTGGGCAGCAGGGAGGGGCGGAGAGGACAGGACGGGTCTGCAGGGGCGCTGGGCAGCAGGGAGGGGCGGAGAGGACAGGACGGTCTGCAGGGGCGCTGGGCAGCAGGGAGGGGCGGAGAGGACAGGACAGGTCTCCAGAGGTACTGGGCAGCAGGGAGGGGCGGGGCGGACAGGACGGGTCTGCAGGGGCGCTGGGCAGCAGGGAGGGGCGGAGAGGACAGGACGGGTCTGCAGGGGCGCTGGGCAGCAGGGAGGGGCGGAGAGGACAGGACGGGTCTGCAGGGGCGCTGGGCAGCAGGGAGGGGCGGGGCGGACAGGACGGGTCTGCAGGGGCACTGGGCCCGGCACCCACCTGGGGCCGCGTCAGGATGACCATCCGCACCAGGTGCACTCGGAACTGGGCGCCCAGGGACGGGTCCCTCAGCAGTTCCGACGCCTGTGGGTGGGCAGACGGAGAGCACACGTGGGTGGGGAGCCGCCCCCAGGGACGGGCCTGGAGAGGGTGCTCCTCAGCGTGGTGGGTGGGCGCACCCCGAGCGCTGGGCCTTGGGCTGGGAGGCAGCAGGGAGGCGGGCAGCCGTGCTCTGGGTCCCCCCCCGGCCCCCACTACCCCTGCTCATGGCTCAGGAAGAGCAACCGACACAGAGGGAAAAACCTGAAACAACTGCATTCGGAAAACTGTCATTAGTCTAGAACAGAGGTCCTCCAACTTTTTAAATGGGGCCAGTTCCCTGTCCCTCAGACATTCCACACGTGCGCACTGCGGGCCCGGGACGCGTCTGCTGCTAAGCAGGACAGGCGGCGGCGGCAAAAGCACCCGGTGGGCGGGTAAATGTTTTCGGCGGCCGCACGGGGCCCGCGGGCCGTAGTTTGAGGACCCCTGGTCTAGAACAGCTGTTCTCAACCTGTGGGTCGCGACCCCTTTGGCGGTCGAACGACCCTTTCACAGGGGTCACCTAAGACCATCCTGCATATCAGATATTTACATTACGATTCATCACAGTAGCAACATGACAGTTATGAAGTAGCCACGAAAATAACTGTATGGTTGGGTCACAACATGAGGAACTGTATTTAAAGGGCCAGAAGGTTGAGAACCATTGGTCTAGAACATTCCATCCAAACACTGCTCTGTCCCAGCAGATTCACCGCCCTTCCTCATCCTCGCTCATCTTCCTGAAACAGCCTTCTCTCCACGTCTGCTTGCTTGACCTGCCCATGCCCAGGTGGCATGATGCCCCGAGAGCCCTTTCCTGGCCCCTGCCCCCCCCCCCCGCCCACCGTGGGAAGGCCCCCGGGTTCCCAGCCCCCGCCACACGCCTGTCAAGATGCTGACCCTGGTTGACCTGTACTTGGTTCTTGCACTAGCGTGTCTGCTGAGGCGTGGCTGACCCTGGCCTCGGCTGACCCACGTCTGGCCCGGGCTCCTCGCTTCCTACCTGCTACCTAACCTCAGAGCCTTGGTTTCCTCATCTGTCCAATGGGGATACGCCTCCGTGGCTGCTGCTGGACTTGGGCACCACGCAGCTGGCACGAGGGGATGGCAGGGCCACGACCACCCTCTGGGCAGGAGCCAGTCTGGCACCCACCGCCCAGCTGTGCTCGGTCCTCGTAAAACACGGGACTGGCCCGGGAGCTGGGCTCGCTGACCACGGTTCCGCAGGTGAGAAGCAGGAGGCGCCCACAGCTTGAACACACAGCTCCCCAGGGACCGACAGAACTGTGTGTCCTAAGCGGCTCATTCTAGCCCTGAGCCAGGTCAGCGGGGGGGGGGGGGGGGGGAGGTGCGGCCTGAGGCTGGGGACCAAGGGGTGCTAAGTGCCCTACGCTCTAGGGGGCAACTTATAGGGGGCAGCGCCAGCCAGCACCTCACGCCCCCCCCCCCCGCCCCCCGCAGCAGGCCTGGGTCAGCCGTCCGCGAGACTCCTGTCCTTAATGTCCCTGAACCCTTTAGCCAGAGCTGTTTCCACGGTGAGTGTGACCCCTAGGCTTCCATCACGTCTGACTGCTCTCATTGCGCCGCGTGGTGACGGCTACGTGCTGGCATTGGCCTCCCGAGTGGCAACGGCCCTGCACCCAGAGCACAGCCCTCTCTGTGCACGTGTCCGTGTGCGCCCTCCGCTCGCAGGCACCGGGCGCACATCCCTGCAGATGCAGTGGGACCCAGGCTGCCCCGTGTCCCCCAGGTAACGGTTGGTGGGAGTCCTGCCTCTTGCCCCACCTTTTCCCTGGAAGCCAGTGGAGGGGAGGCGGGCAGAGGGGGTGCCTACAGGAAAGGAACTGAGAGCCCGGGTGGGGGGCAGCCGCTGGCTGTCATACAGCACTGGCTGAGATTCCCACAGGGAACTGGGCAAAAGGCCAAACCTGAGGGTCCCCTGGGCAAAGGGGCCCGAGGAGCAAGAGGCTGTGGGGTGCACTAGGGAGCAGCGAGGGGTTCCCCGGTGAGGGGGGCAGAAGGAAAGAGGAGACACCTCTCTCCCTACCAGGCCCTGAGTCCCATGGGTGACCCCAGCTCAGATTTACACCAGAGTCAATTCATGATCTCAAACCAGATGAGCCAGCCCCGACACCATAGCCCTGCCGGGGACAGTGTCCCCAGGCTCCGAGGACCTGGGGGGCATGCAGAGCCCCGCGCCCGCCCGGGGGGCACTCACCATGTTGAGGTTGGTCAGCACGTAGCGCTCCGTGTCCTCCTGGTGAGCCTGGTGCACGTCGGGGCCGACGGCCACCAGCAGCTCCAGGTGCAGGACGCCCCCCGCGGCAGCGTGTCTCCGGAGGCGAGAGGAAGGACGGCCTGGCAGGGAGGGGCAGGCAGGACTGAGATGGAAGGTTCTAGAAAGCAGGTGGCGCCTCCCCGTCACCCTGTGCTCCTGTGCTTGGAGACACGCAGAGTCCTGTCTGTCACCTACGCTTAGGGAGTGGGCGGGCCCCGCCCCCTGCCCTGTGCCGCGCCAGCTCAGCCAGGATCGGTGAGCTTGAGGGGGGTGAAGCATTGAGGACAGACAGACAAGAGAGGAAAGCTGGGTATGGGTAGGACGCTCTCCTCTCTGACGGAGAGCTAGCTACAGCGCCACAGACTACAAGCCAGAGTGCACGAGGCAAAGTACGGACGTGGTCAGGGTGTTTACAGCGTTCTCACGGGTTTCGAATCTACTCAATTGCATGCACCTGAACGCTCTCAAGCTTTGTTCTGGCAGCACTTGCTGCACCTCCCGCAGCCCACATCACTCAGCCACCTGGGGCCACAGGTTCGGACCATAACGTCAAGCTCACAGCCACAGCTTTGGCCACCATTGTGCTGGGAGGGCTTTGCCCTCCACGCTGGGACTTGCACGTGGCTTTGCCACGAGAGGACCTGCCCTCTCATTAGTCTGAGGCTTGAACCTGTCCAGACGCTGTGGCTGCTCTCCACACGGCCCCAGCTTCCCCATGGGGGGAGGGGGGGACATGAGAGCGCCTGCCTGCTGGGCACGGTGACAGCTGGGTGAGTGGCCTGCCCTGTGCCCTCCCCTCACAGCCCTGCCCAGCCTCCTGGAGCCGCCCTGGCCTCAGACACCCACGAACAGTTGAGGACATCGTGTCCTCTGACCCCTCAGGGACTGAGAGGTCCCAGGCTCTCGGTCACGGATGCTGTGACTGTCAGAGCCGCGGCGCCCGGGCAGCCAGCGGCAGAGGAGCTGCTGGGCCTCGGGACAGATTGGGGCAGGTGGAGCCGAAGGGCTGAGATCCCACAGTGACCGCGCGTTTCGGGAGCAGCGAGGGGCCCGGGCAGGAGCCAGTGATGGCGTTTACGTTCTTTTGGTCCCCCCAAAACCCCACACTGGACACACAGTGGAGAACAGAATCACCAAGCAAAGCCCAGGACAGCACAGCCCCGCGGTCCTACAGAGACAGAGGTCTCCCCGACGCCCCTCCCACCCCACCCCCAGCGCAGCACAGGCCTCGGTCAGTGTGTCTCTGACCACAGGGAAGTCGCTACAAGGGGACCCCCCTAATTCTCTCCTGTGGCCACTAGCCCCCCGCCTCTGGTCCCCACCAGACTTTGGATCAAAGTCACCAGGGGCCCTACTCAGACAGGAGCGGGTCCTGGAGGATCCAGGCCGGCCCTCGAGGCTGGGGGGGACGGGGGGGGGGGGAGGCTGTGGCTGGGATGGGGCCAGCGCCTACCCTGCTTCTCACAGAAGCATAAATATTTACATCCACGGCCAGAAGCCACGAGGGTTCCTGGAAATCGGTCAGCTCTCGGGAGGCCCAGGAGCGGAAGGGACCAGCCAACAAGTGGCTGTACCCTGAGACACTGAGCAGAGCCCCGAGGTCAGAGCCCCGATCCGTCCAGAACACCCAGACCAGCTTCTAGGGGCTTCACAGGAAGTAACGGAGTTCATGAACAGAAGCCATGCTGCGGCTCTGCCTCCCCCAGCAGGGCCCCCAAATCCCAGCCCCTAACTCAATGGAGATACCAACATCCCAGCCCCCAACTCAATGGAGACACCAAATCCCAGCCCCCATCTCAATGGAGACACCAACATCCCAGCCCCCCAACTCAATGGTGATCCCAACATCCCAGCCCCCAACTCAATGGAGACACCAACATCCCAGCCCCCAACTCAATGGAGACACCAAATCCCAGCCCCCAACTCAATGGAGACACCAACATCCCAGCCCCCCAACTCAATGGAGATACCAACATCCCAGCCCCCAACTCAATGGAGACACCAACATCCCAGCCCCCAACTCAATGGAGACACCAACATCCCAGCCCCCAACTCAATGGAGACACCAACATCCCAGCCCCCAACTCAATGGAGACACCAACATCCCAGCCCCCCAACTCAATGGAGATACCAACATCCCAGCCCCCAACTCAATGGAGACACCAACATCCCAGCCCCCCAACTCAATGGAGACACCAACATCCCAGCCCCCAACGCAATGGAGACACCAAATCCCAGCCCCCAACTCAATGGAGATACCAACATCTTATCCCCCTCAACTCAATGGTGATCCCAACATCCCAGCCCCCAACTCAATGGAGACACCAACATCCCAGCCCCCAACTCAATGGAGATACCAACATCCCAGCCCCCAACTCAATGGTGATACCAACATCCCAGCCCCCAACTCAATGGTGATACCAACATCTTATCCCCCCAATAGTGAGACACCCCGCAGGCTCTGGGAAGCTCCCCTCGCCAGGGCAGTGGAGGACAAGTACCTCTGAAGGCAGCATCAGGGCCGGAGTGGGAAGTCACCTCCTGGGTCTCCGAAGCCTGAAGCAGTCCCTGCGGGAGAGAAAGGATGGTGAGGGGAGGGAGACCCCAGGGAGTGGGCGGGGCCAGAGCAAGACCGAGAGAGGGGACTTGGGCATGAGGGGAGTGGGGGGGACCCAGGCGCAGATCCGCCCAGCGAGCCCAGAAGCTGAAAGAACACCCCGCTCTGCCAAGGCAGCCACCCCTCCCAGGCCCCGCGTCGGCGCCTGGCAGCTCCGTCCCGGGCTCCTGCCCACTCACCCACCTGCACGCCCGGGAGGCCCCAGCAGCCCAGGAGGAGGCAGGCAGAGGTGAGGACTCCCCACGCGCACGTCCCCGGGGGGCGAAGCTCCCTCATCCTCAGCGAAGCCAGCTGGTGGGGAGATGCCGGGAAGCTGGTCTGGTCGGTGAGGGATGTGACAGACCCGCGGGGCGGGACCATCAGGCTGTTTACTCTTGGGCGCTTCCTCCCAGGGCAGCCTCGAGAGCGCCTCCTGCTGCAACCTGGGCCTGGGTCAGAGCCCCCACCCGGCCCTGCACCCTGAGATGGCGCTGGACCCAGGTGCCCAGACCAGAGGAGGGAGCTCCGGCCCCGGTGTCCGCGCTGTGGCCATGGACAGCCTGCGGGGACCGCTGGCGGCCTGGGGGGACCGCGGGCAGCCTGGGGGGACCGCGGGCAGGCTCTCACCAGCGCTCAGGCTCACACAAGTCACTCTCCTCTGCTCACACCCTCCTCTCCGTGACCTGACCGCTGTCCTCTCCTCTCCCACTCCCTTCCTCACCCACTAGGCCTGCTCCAACACCCCTCCCTCTGCCTCCTTCCCAGCTGGCACCTGTGGGCCTGCACAGATGGGCAGTCCCAGAGCCAGGCTGGGTGGCATCACCCATGCAGCCTCACCAGCCCCGGCCGTCCACGCCCCTGCCGGGCAGGCTCTCGTCCTCTCCGGAGCGCTGTTTCACGCCCTCACACCTCCTCCGACCCAGCGGCTGGCGACCAGGGGCCTCCGTGAGTTTCCGCCTGCGCAGCCCCCTCTCCTCGGCCTCGGCCTCGGGTACCAGGGAGGAGTCCCCCTCACCCACTGTGGCCAAACCCCTCTCCTTGCTCAGGGGTCAGAGCTGCACGGCAGCCCGAGGCTCCCCCCGCCCCCCGCAGCTGCTTCCCCCTTTGTCTTTCACAGGCATCCCACCCCCATTAATGTGTGCACCCCAACTCTCTGTGACCGCTTCCTGGAGACGCAGACGGACACGTGGCCCTACGCCAGCCTCCTCCTGGGCCTGCTCTCTGCTGTCTCTCTCCCTCGCTCCCACCCCATTTCCCGCACAGAGCGGCAGTGACTTCCAACGACGCAGGTCAGATTGCGTCACTCCCCGGCTTTAAAACAGCCGACCTTTGCCCTTGGGATACAGGGTCCAGACTCCTTCCTGCGGCCTCTGAAGCCCTACCGTCCCCCTGCTCCCAACCCTCCCCCCGCTCACCGCGCTCCAGCCGCACCGGCCTTCTCTCCCTCCCTCCGTACATCCAGTGCTTGGCTGGTCTCTGACCCCGGGCCTCACACCCACGTTTCAGCTCCCCTGTCACCTCACCAAAAAGGCCTGCCCGCAGGACCCATCCCAGGGACCAGTTAGATCTGAGCTTCAGATAGCCGTTACATGCATGTTGTTTTACACGTGTTTACATGTTACAGGCATATGTTGTTTTAGTATAAGCGTGCCCCAATATTGCACCCACTTGCAGGGCGTCCTGCATTTTATTGGGCAACCTGCCCCCTCCCGCCCGCCTCTACGGCAAACCTCACTTTATCATCTTCGCTGTAGCTGCCAGCGAGCCCAATCGTCTTGTTGATCTAGTGTCTGTATTTCCCTGATACGGGGACCCCGCTGGACACGTTAGGGAAGCGGAGGCTGATCTGTGCTGTCAGGACCCTGTCAGGGCCGGGCAGGGGTGCTAGCCATGGCTTATGGTCGTTAGGAAGTGATGGCCCAGGCCCGTGCGCCCGCTCTCTCTGGTTTGTGCCTTTGCTGCTGTTGTTAATCCTCACCCAGGACATTTTCCCATTTATTTTCAGGGAGAGTGGGAGGGGGAGAGACAGAGAGAAACTTGGATGGGAGCGGGACACATCCATTGGTTGCCTCCCACTCGTGCCGCCGGGCGGGGGTTGGAGCCAGCAACGGGGAGAATCGAACCCGGGACCTTCAGTCCACGGCCCAGGTTCTACCCGCGGAGTCAAACCGCCCAGGGCCCTGCCAGCTCTCTAACCACCGGGAACATGCCCTCGGGAGGGGACTAACAGTGACAACGAGAAATGTTTTTAACCTAAAAACAAAGTGATAAATACACAACAACCCTTACGCCGCTGCATGTCATTGGCGGGTGGGGCTGCAGCGCCTTTGCAGCCAGGGTCCCGGGAAGCCAGGCTCTGGGACCCCGGGTCCCCCTGCCGCTCCCGCCCGGCCCCCCAGCGCCCCCTGGCGGCCGCCGGCCCCGCGCTCCGCCGGCCCCGCCGCGCGCCACACCGACAGCGGCCCCCGGGTCCCTTCCGGCGCCGCGTGTCTCCTCCCCGTCCCGGGGCTCGTGAGACCCGGGCTTACCCCGACCCAACCCCACGTCGCGGAACCGAGCGCCGCTCGCTGGGGCGGCGACCCCGTGCCCGCGCGGGAAGGAACCCGCCGGCTCCCGGCCGCGCGGAACGCGAGGCGAGGGCGCGGCTTCCCGCCGGCCGCGAGAGAGCGGGACTTCCGGGGGTGGGGACGCACGTGTCGCGAGAACGCGGGCGCTTCCGGATTCGCTCGCCGGTGCGGGAGGCCGGCACCCCCGGCTGTCGCGGCCCTGCGCGTGGCGGGCGCATCGCGGGGCGGCCGCGCGGGGAGGGCGGGGATGGTGAAGGCCCAGGGGCTGGGCCCCGCGCGCGCCCCGCACGACGCCGTGGCCGAGCCAGCGCTGGCCAAGCAGCTCCCACGGAAGAAGAAAAAGAAGAAAAGATTCTGGAAAAGCAAAGCGCGAGAAGCAGGCGGGAGACCGGGAGGCGACCCCTCGGCCGCGCTGCGACCCCCGAGGGCCCCGGAGGCCTTTTCCCAGAACTGGAGGGCGCTGCAGGAGGTGAGGGCGGGCCTGTGCCCGACCCGCAGGAGGGAGACGGGGGCGCCTTGGAGGCAGATTAAAGCTCGGGGAGCAGCTTCATTCGCAGGAAACGCGGCTGCTGGGGGGCTGCGAGCTCACAGGCGGGCGAGCATTAGGACCTGGCGCCGAGGGCCCCCGCGCGGGGCTGACAGCGATGACAGCTGCCCCGGGCCGAGCTCTCAAGTGCGCACGCGCCGGCCTGGGACCCAGCGTGTCCCTAAGTCCCGCCAACACTGAGGGAGACCCCCGTGATCAGCTCCATTTACAGACGAGGAAATGGGCCCGGTTACCTTCCCCAGGGTCCCAGCCGAGTGGGCCGGACCGGGAGTCGGGCTGCACCGCGCCTTTTGGGCATCAGTGGGCAGGCTTAGCAGGTGCTGGTCCAGGCGGCCGCTCATACATTCTCCCCTCCCCTCTGCTGTCTCCTACGTGTACGTACACACACGTGTTCTTCCAGCCTCTGTGCGCGATGTCCGCATTAGAATTGTGTCTACTGTAGGTGCTGGAACAGAAGTCACCGGCCCCAGAAAAGCCTCTGTGCGCGATGTCCGCATTAGAATTGTGTCTTTACTGCAGGTGTTGAAACAGAAGTCACCGGCCCCAGAAAAGCCTCTTGCTCTCTCTCAGCGGGATTCCAAAAAGCAGCCCCAAATGGCCCGACAGGACAGAAAGGCCGAGAGAGAGGAGGCGGGGACGGAAAAGGCAGGCGGGGAGGCGGCCGTGCGCTCCCTTCCTCCAGCATCACTGCCCGGCAAGGCCCGCGGAGCGGAGCACAGGGAGAAAGCAGCCAAGAGAAGGACAAATGACGTTTCTCCAAAACGAGGGGGTCTCACACATCAGAAGCGGAAAGCCAACGAGGCGCCGGCAGCCTTGGCCCCAGCCCCGCCCACCGAGTAAGTACTGGCGGCCTCTCCCACGGTGACGGGCACCGCCTCCTCTGCCGCCCAGCCTGTCGTGGGCATCGCCAAGGACAAAGTCCTAGCCACTGAGCCTGTCTGCTTGAGGGGGTGGGGCTGGGGCCCACCCAGAATGAGGGCCGGGCCTGCTCATGGCTGCTGTACCCCGGGACCCAGGGCGGAGCTGGGCACTTGGTGGCTCCGGGGAAGACCCGTGGAATGAATGAGTGTCGAAGGCGGGAAGACCGAGTTTGAAGCCGGTTCCTGCATCTTGCTAGTTGGGTGGTTTGGGGCAAGGTTTGCTGTCCCCTGGGCCTCCCGGCGGTCATCAGTGTTGTCTGGGCGGGAGGGGGTCTGTGAGACGGGAAGTGCCGGCTGAGCGCCCCATGGTGACTCAGCAGACCCTGTGATGGTCACCCACCTGGGGAGGACGAGGGGTCAGTGGCCAGCTGGAAGGGCGTGTTTGTGAGCTGGGCTGTCCGTGTGTCGCTGGGACAGTTGCTGAGGGGTGTGGGGAAGCGGTCTGAGGGCCGGCCTGTGTCATTGTGCGTCGGGCATGCTGCCTGGAAATAGAGTGGCTGCCATGGGCCCTCCTGCTGAGGCTGAGGCTGAGGCCAAGTGGGGGAGACACGGTAAACTGAAATGATTTCAGTGATTCTGTCGGTTGCTCCGGGAGGAGCGGGTCCACGAGGGGGTCAGCAAGAGGTCCCTGGGGAAGTGACATTTAAACGGAGCCTGAGACGTCCCACCCGGCAGACCCTCACACCCTGCGCTGCGGGCTGCGGGCCGTCACTCGTGGGGTCTGGAGGGTTGACGTTTCTGTTGTCTACTGTATGTTTACTTGCGGTTCCTAAATTTCGGGTAATGAGCGTATTTCCTAATTAAACAGAAAAGTGACGAAAGTGTCCTGTGATCAGAATAGCAGCAGCAGCTGGGCACTCGGGCCAGCGCGGTGAGGGTGTCTCCGCAACACACGTCAGCCTGCCCCTCTGCCTTTTAGACGAGACATCTGGTTCGATGATGTTGACCCGGCGGATATCGAAGCGGCCATGGGCCCAGAGGCAGCCCAGATAGCGAGGAAGCAGCGGGGCGAGAGGGAGAGCAGCACGGCGCTGGTGAAGGAGCAGGCCTTCAGTGGGTACGAGGCTGCGCCTCAGGGCGGTGGGGGGGGGGCCCTTCGGGGGGGCGCCCCCTGGCCCAGGGTCAGAGCTGGTCATTGGTGGTGCCGATCCCGGGGTCCTGCCGTGTGAGTTAAACTGGAGCCTCTGGTCCCTTCAGCCTGACGAAAGCCTTAGCCATGGACTGCGAGATGGTGGGCGTGGGCCCCACGGGGGAGGAGAGCCTCGCCGCCCGCGTGTCCATTGTGAACCAGTACGGGAAGTGTGTCTACGACAAGTACATCAAGCCGACCCAGCCGGTGACGGACTACAGGACGGCGGTCAGCGGGGTCCGGCCGGAGCACCTCCAGCGGGGTGGGTCACTCCCAGCCGGGAGCTGAGAGAGGACAGGCGGGGCGGGCTCACACTCCTCTCGGTCCCTCTTCTGGAGCCTTCCGTAGCCAGGGTCCTGAGTCTTCCCTCCCCGGGGTGAGTGGCCTTCAGGTGGCTCCCCATGTCCTTGGACCGGCTCTGAACCCAGCCTGTCGGCCCTGAGGTCTGACCAGACAACGGCCGGGCTTTACCGTCGCGTCTGGTTCGGTTTCAGGAGAAGCGTTTGCAGTTGTTCAGAAGGAAGTGGCCGAGATGCTGCGGGGCCGGATCCTCGTGGGACACTCGCTGCACAACGACTTAAAGGTGCGCTGCCCGCACCCTGCCTGCGGGGGGGGCGGGGGGGGGGGGGCGATGGGGAGGTGCCTGTGTGGGAGCACTCAGGAGCAGCGTCAGACACACTGAGTGCTCCCTGTGTCCCCGGAGCCTCGCGGGCATTTCCATGGTGGAGCTCTCGCTCTGTAGTGAACCCGGACCTAATGCTAGGCCCTGCCCCTGCTCTAGCACCTTCCACGTGGACACAGCCAGGCCGCCGCCTCTGCAGCCTTCACCCGTCGCGGTGAACAGGGCTCCTGCGAGGTCGGGGCCCTTCTGTTGGGAAGCAGTCCGGGCGGCCATTGCCTCCACCTCGGCCGCTGGGGCCCCTCTCACCTCCTCAGCTGCTGTGGTGGACATAGCAGGCGGCAGGCGAGCTGGGAGGGTCCACTCCTGGTGCCCCAGAGGGTGTGGCCTCAGGCCTCTGCTTCTGGAGGGTCTGTCCCGGTGAGAGCTGTGGGGCGGGCGGAACAGGAGACAGCCCTGCCTGGCTGGGCTGTTCAAACTGTGGTCCAGGGAACCCTGGAGTCCTCGGAGGTTCAGGGGCTGCTCTGTGATGGCCAAAGGCCTCCACTGCCTTCAGAGTAAACCTTGAACCACTGGAAACTAGCCGGTCCTCTGCCCACTGTCGCAGCATTTCCACCCAGAGGCCGGCTGCGGCCTGTCCCCGGTCCCGCCACGCTGTCCCTGGTCCTGCCCCCGCAGCACCGGCGCAGATGCAGGAGTGGACGGGCTGCTGGCTGGTGTGGCCGCGCCTCCCTGCCCGTTTCAGTGTCTCTGTTACTGTGCTTGCCGTCGGGCATCTTCAGTCGGCGGGAGGATTTTCTTCCAGTTCAGATTCCCTTCAATCCCTGTTTTATTCGTGTGTCTTATGTTGGGATTCCTTGCAAAAAGAAAGGA